AAGTTCCTGATGTTTAATCTTGCAGCCTATTGATGCTGTGAAAAGAAATTGATTGCAATATGAAATTGGAGGCCTCAAGTGGACAGGGAATATTTATCACATGATCATCTGCACCAATGATTTTTGGTCAGAAGTGATTGGGATAATTAAGTACAGCAGGTATAGCAAATATAAATTTCCCCAAATATCTGATGGTTCCAAGTTCTCAAATGTGGGAATTTAATGCCGTTTTTGATCTTAAATTATGGTAAATTCAATATTCTAGGGTTTTGGACTGTTGGTCATTGAAAGCAAGACATTTGATGATTTCACTTTTGCCTCTAGGGATACTGTGATGGGGATTTTCACTGTTTTTTTATGTTTTATAGACCAAAGTCATGTCATGTCTGTGTTTTACACATCTCTGGCTACATCCACACCAATACGTTCTCCTTTTAAAACGCATCACTTTTGCAACATTTACGCCTGTCGTCCACACCAACCCAGAAACAGACTTTCGGAAACAATGACACGGACACTGATATTCACTTCCTGATTGGGTCTCGTCTGTCATGACTACCAGTGGTGAATGCGACATTGATAATGAATTACAAGTGTTGCTGATCTTGAAGTCTTTGCTAGTATTTGCTTTTGCGGCAACTAACCAACCACAGAGTGGACAACACGCACACCCATTGTTCGTCAATGGTCATGTGATATTAGTCTTCAGGTGTGTTAGTGTGGATAGAGATTAAACGCTTGTCTAGACAGAGATCGTTTTTGTTTTAAAATGAAAAGGTATTGGTGTGGATGTAGCCTTAGTCATCATTATCATCATCAGTTTTGAAGACATAGCAAACTAGTTTCAGTGGGGGAACTCCAACTACACCAATAACTGCCAATCATCACTGTCAATGTTGAATTATCAATCATCTTGTTTCTGACAATGTTCAAATTGTTGAAAGCATTAATAAAACATCAAAGACTAACAGGTCTGTGATTCATACCAGCAGCCAGCAGGACCAGCGTGCTGCAGTTCATTTCACTGAGCTAAAGCCAAGGATCTCAGACGTCATCTAATTATCCTTCTGACGACACTACTTCTCAAAGCATCACTGAACTTTTACCATGCGGCTTTTAACATGTCTGAGCATGAAAGAAGGAAAGAGGAGTTTTTTGGGGTTTGAACTAAAATTGTAATGCATCACATCCTTTTGTTTATCACACTTTCATTCTGCCACGCCTGTATTCAGGAGTACATTCATCAAGTCACACGGTGAAATGTGCCAGAAGGTTAGGCAACTAATGTTAAATGACGTTTAGACCAATCATTAGGCAGATCAGGTATGTGAAAGTCCAAAACTGCAGGGAAATATAAAAATAGAATTCAGTCTAAACACAGAAGGTAGCTCATGTGCTATCATTACTCTTTCAAGTCATCTATCAAGCAAAAATACTAAATATTATTCTACAGTTGTGGATGTGCAACTTTTATCTATTTTGTATGATTGTAATTTGAACACATTTGGTTTTTCAAGCTATTTGAAGACATCATCTTGGCATCAACTAAATTTGGACAGTTTTAAATCAATAAATTGAAAAATACTTTACTAATTGACAGTAAAAATTGAATGCAGGCCCTGTACATGTCAGCCATATCGCCCAGCTCTGTAACCAGGGAACCAAAAGCACAACAGCTGTTGAGAAGCAGAAGGAAACAACAGGCAACTGAGATCCAGACATTGAAGAGAAAATTGACTCCTTCACTCCCACTTTTCATTGACCCTCCGAGAACCTGGTGACCTGGAAAAACTGCAGCGTGGGGCGACGACCAGCCGCTCAGCTCAAATGAGCCACAGAACAAATCCTCTTTTCACCCTTTTAACTCTGTCATGCAGAGAGGCCACTTTGCAGCAGCGTCGCCCATTGTTTGTCTTTCCTCTGTTTAGAGACAGACAGAGAGACTGAGGGGGTGAATAGGGGACAGTGGTGCTTACACTAAACCCATTTTATAGTCAAGTGGGAAAATCCTTGCGTCAGGATTTGTGCTGCACTACAGTCAGCAGGATAACTTGAATAAGTCAAAAGATAAAAAAGGAACTTGTGGGGATAAAATTTTTAACCTCAAAAGGCTGAAAAACGTTAGCATTTGCTTTATGCAATGTTCTCCTGCAACTGTGTGGATGAAGAAGGCACTGTGATAACCACCCCTAGAAGGACTATTTGAACTTGTGAGGGTGTAACTGAATGCAGCAGCTCACAACACATGCAGGTTATACACTTAAAAACCACACAGATTAAATGATTAACACATTAAGACATGTATAAATCTCTACAAACCAATCTTAAAACTGTTTTAGAAAAGTTTTTTTTAAACATCAATGCAGCCAGAGCAGCTGTAACATATATGAAATGTGGAATACAAGGTTAATCTGAAAAGGACATGGATATGAATCACAAGGTGAGGCATGGTCAGGTGAATGCCGGTTAGCAGCATAGTCAATTATAAAAAAAAAAAGTGAAGCAGTCATCTCTTTGATGTGTGAGATTTCAGATTAGTGGGAGAAGACAAAAGTCAAAAGAAGTTGTGTGTCAAAAACTGTATATTTGTATCAGTTTGCCAACTCATATAGACCAGATTTATGGATGCAGAATTTACACAGATACTTTGTGTTTAGGCCATGACCTCGTCACTCCCTGCAAAACTGCAAACTGCATTATTTGTAAATCCAACGCAATCCTGGCATGCATTAAATTGTTTTTGGTTGGCTATTTGTTTTTGACAAAGGAAGTCAGGAGCTCATCTCTGACCTCCTGAAGAAACCAACTGTATTAGGACAACACCAAACACAGCACAAACACATGTGTTTTGTTTGTATGTTGCTGATACCAGCCACCATGCACCTATTATCCCTGACAAAGCACCTCCAACCACTGCAAAGAATGCACTATCAGGTGAATTTAAATCTAAACCCAGCAACCCACCTGATATATTTAATATAATATGAAATACGCATTATTTGGAGAAAATATCAAAAAGGTGATGTGGATATAAAGGTAGGTTGAATTTGCCACAAAAAAAATACAATCAAGAACCGTATTTAAATCCAATATTACCCTAAAAGCAATACCACAAAACAGCAGCAGCCACCTGGGAAAAATGTCATTAATCAATCTTCATCCATTACACTTGCAATACTCAAACAGATGCTGAGATGCTATGAACCACTAAATGAACTGCAAGAAACCATGAAAACGCTAATGCCAAATGAAAAATTAAAAATGGCCTCAGCCACACTAATTAACTCACAGTTAATGCCATTTCAAACACTGCAGATAGACCAAACAGCAGAATTACAGCCAGCACCACATCAACCACAAACACATCAGCTACAAGCAAGAGACAACCACAAGCATTGATGGACAGCCACATGGGCAGGTAAACAAAAACTGAACCAAGCCCAAAACCACCAATGTCAGCACAAGCAGCCCTTACCTTGTGAGGTGAAGCGGTGGTCCTCAGCATCTCGGGGGGAAACCTGGGGAGAGTCAGGTGGTCGCAAACAGCAGAACTGGAAACATCTACGTCCGGCGCGACCTGGGTCACCACGTTGGTTGAAGAACATAACTTTGAATTTCAGTACAGCAGCTAAACGCTACACAAACTGAAACCTTTCCTCTATAAAACAACCGCCCTGAAGTAACGCTATATGTCTATCGGTATATTGGCTTGTTTATGTAATGCTACCGGAATATTAATCGTGGTAAGGGCTCACAATAGTAGAGTCAGCAAACTAGCAGCTGCAGTTACTCCTCAATACACGACAACAAAGGGCAGAGAGTTCACGATTTAAACTACCGGACTCAATACAAAATATGTGATGTACACTCATTGAGCACTTTATTAGGAACACCTGCACACCTGCTCATTCCTGCAATCAGCCAAGCAGCCAATCACGCGGCAGCAGTGCAACGGTCTGTGCAGAAACTATTTGTTTTTGTTTTGTGTTTCTGATGGGTCACAGATTTCGGCTCCATGTTTGGTAATAACTAACAAAACATGCAGTTTAAACCAGGTGAAGTGTTAAACTGATGACATTTTTCTTTCCTATCTTCCAGAAGGATACTGTAGCAGCTGTGCCCATTTTTATATGTCAATGCAGGTCAAACGTCAATGAAATGCTTCAACAATAGGCCTGCACCACTTTTTGCTGTTTCTGCTTTTCAGACACTACACAGGGGAAGAGAGGGGTGACATGGAACAAATGCTGGGAGCTTGAGCCAAACGTGACAATGCAAGTTGATCTCACATTATCAACATTAATTGATGCATTATGTAACCTCGTGAGATCCTCTAGATATGAAATGGGTAACAAATATAACATCTTTGTTAATTTTGGAGAAAAAAGACATTTCAAATTCAGCCTTTTTTGATGGCAAATTTGATTCAAACTTTTAAAATACAAAACCATATAAGCTGAAACTTTGTGGATGGAGGCAGTTGAGCTCAGTTTGTGCAGGAATGGGGTTTTTTTTTCTTTTCTTTTTTTAAATCCATGACAACTGAACTCAGTTTCCAGATGTGGTGGGTGTTTAGACACTTAGCCAAGAGTTACACAACCCCAGACTCTGGGTTCACCAGCAACAGCAGTTAGAGGACACAAAGTGCTGCCTTTTCAGTGTTTACTTTGTTCCTGGAATAGCCCTGTACAAAACCAGTGAACCACTCCCTGGCAAACAGACACTGTTATCTCCAGGTCCTTATAGGGCTATTTTAACTGACAGCCATGGACACATTGCTTAGCAAATTATAAACAAATAAAAGTGTGTTCTGAAAACCACAGAGAAAGCCATGTGTATGCTGGGACGAATAAGGTATTTGAACTAAAGTTCTATAGAAATATTTAAACAAACTTAAATTGTATGCATTTTTTTTGTTTTTTTACATTGGTAGCTGTACACTCTAGACACAAATTTGCTTTTAACGTAGGGTATGAGAAGAAGGAACCTGACACAGAACATTAGGCTGCAAGAGTCTACTTTATTGCATTTGCAATCACAGGGTGACAAGGTGAAAAATGTTTAACAAAGGCATGTGGATGTGTATGCACCACAGTGTGTCTTTGCACCACAGTATTACAAACACAGAACAGTACAAATGTTTAATAAAAAAAAAAAAGAAAAAAAAAAAAAAGAGCTTATCAGTTGCATAATTTTTTTTTTTTTTTTTTTTTTTTTTTTTTTTTCATTTTCATTTCTTTTTTTTGGTTGTCAATAAAAAAAACACAAGGTTACCAAAACAAGAATAAGTAAGGCAGCCTATACTACAATGAATAATATAAAAAAAATTAAATAAAAAAACAAACAAAAAAACTAAAGGTTGTAAACGGGACATCCTCCCGTCACCTAGCGTTGGTCGTTGGTTCAATTCCCCCCCAAGGTGTGGTGTGGATCATCGGAGTGAGACTGCAGGATCAGGAGGAGGTGGGACTTCCTGCATCGCTGCTCTCACTCACCTGGCGTTGCATAACCATCTCCCTGGCAACGCAGGTGATCTGACCATTCGTCACCGCACCGGGGACCCCCGCCCTGAGAGGGACAAATAAAGAGAGATTGAGGAAAGCTATTCTTGATACTGTATGGATTGACTAATTTACACAGGGACAGCTCATAGCTAAGCAAACAGACAAGCCAAGACAGATTTCTTTGTCTACACCCTGTCAAGAGGTTTTTAATGGAAGACAGGTACAATGACTCTGCTTTATATGACACAATGTACTAAACTGGCCTGGACTCATCTGCAGATTAAAGGCAAAGTTAAAAAAAAAAAAAAAAAAAAAAAAAAAAAAAAAAAAAAAAAAAAAAAAGCAGCTCCAAACTGAATAGTGGATACTCCAACAAAGGCAGTTTCATTATGAAACTAAAGATTATGACCAGGATTACAAGAATAAAGATACAGTGGCACTGTCAGGGGTTGACTCAGCGATGTGTATTTACTTATACTTACTTCATCTGTGCCTCCTCAGTCAGTGGGGTCATCCCTGGCTGCTTCCCAAAGAAGAAACTGGACCACCAATGGCCAGAGTCCTGCTTGGGGAGTCCTGTGGAGACAGATAATGAAGGCATGAGGCTTCAAGCTTGTACAGAAAGGACAGCTGCCATTGTCTATTTAATTTAGATTTCTGTCGGTGGAATTTTGAATTGTTAAGGCAAACCCTTTTTCTTTGCTCAGGCCAACCATGACATTAACTTCCAGTACTCAGAGGACAGTGTTTTGTTTGTCAAATATAAGCCCCTTCATTAACAGGAGTCACCTTCTTTATTAATTTAACATTTTAACATTCTAGGACAGTGTGGATGAAGTTTTTGACAATCCTCCTAAGATTAAAGCTACATTGCTCCTCATAACAAGCTGAGGAAAGTATCAGCCACAGTCTGAGCGAAAAATGACCCAGGCTTCCCCTCCCAGGACTCGGCTGCATGTTTGGCTCTGTGTCAAACTGACACCTCATTTAGTCACTGAACAGCTGCATTTACATGTAGCCAGTTAAATATATACAGTACAACTGCTGTGTGCCACAATTAGCTTCTAGGTCAAATCAATTCTCAAATTGGTGCCAGTCAAGAGTTTTACATATATGATAAAGTATCCTGCACTATATTGAACGAACAAATTTAAAAAGGTCTAAAATATTATTCTTGTGCAATCAAACTTATAACTAGATATTTGAAGACAAAAGTATGTTACAACAGCAAACAAGTACTGCAAATCTTATAATCCAGAGCCACAGCTGAATACTATACTTTCTTACATAAATAACTTTTTTCTTTTCCCAATGATTTCTTATTTGCTTGTGGCTGTAAAAACTACCATCATTATAACCCACGTGCCACAAAACTGAATTCCATAGTACTAAAAGAATGAACAGTAATGTAAGTCACATGCACTGAACTCTCTCTGAATGCACCCCCACCGCCCTATTTGTGTGTGTCCAACAACTTTAGCACCCTGAAACCATCTGACCCCATGGTTAAAACAGGCATGCCGACACCAACCTCAGCCAGCATTTAACTGCCGGCCCAGATGGTTTTCACATAAGGCTGCACTGAGATGCTGATCCAGGATTACTGGTGAAGTCAGCAGATATTAACTGGTGCAGAGGCTCATATTGGTGTAGCAGGGGCCAAATGCACATGTGCCAAGGCTGTGATGCTTTTTATATTAATACTGAAATATGAATCCTAACCCAGAGAACTGAATGGTACTTTCAGGTTAAAGAAACCTCCACATCTTGAGAGGAAAAACGAACACTGAAAAGCGAGTTTCCTGCTAGATTAGAAAGAGCCAGATCAGACCAGAAATGATTCGAGCTAGGTGTATTCCACGATGACTCAACCACAATAGCTCTGTTTGATCTGAGGCAACAGCTGACTCAACCACAGTAATCCTGAAGTTACTGCAAATGAAGTCTATGAGCAATGGTACAATGTGGATTAAGCAATGTCACGAGTTTATGCAACTGTTGGCCAAACGTAGGCAAGAGGAAGTGAGCACGCTGAAAAGAAACATTCACTCGTGTGGAGATATGCTCTGACACACAAAAACATCTGGATCCGGTGCAGTGACACACTCCTGGGATGGTTATTTCTCTTCAGCAGAACACACTGTTCCTTCCAAAACCCACAGACATTTATATTACTCATTGTGTGTATTCTGTCTTGACGTTGAGTGCTGTTATTCCCTGACCTGAAAACAACACACTCAAATTCTCTGGCAGCAGCCTTGATTCAGTTAATTTGGAGCATAATGTTAGTGTTTAACTGATAATCACCCACATTCAGGGGCTTCCCCACACTAACAGGCACATAACTCTGCAGGGAAACATTGAGCATCTGGAGTTTTCCTTATATTTAATTAATGCTAAAAACACAAAATTCTTTTGTTTTTTTTCTTTTACATAGATACAAACATTCACACACCTGGATGGTGAGGAATGACCTCTCCGCTGTACTCCGAACTGCCGCAAGAGCTGCTGCTGGACGTAGAGCCAATGCGCCCTGCAGGAGAAGAGAATGAGCAGACAAAAAGTCAGTTTAATCACAGTCAACAAAACTGGAAAAGTGAGATGTATGTGGATCACACTGAAGGGTTCACTTCTTGCATGGATACCCAACCATTCCCCTAAAATGAGAGGGGGTGGAGGTGACATGGACAAAGAAAATTTTAATCCATTTTCCTCTGGTTATATAACTGGAGCCTGCAGGGAAACTCTGAACACTAATGCCGATTTTGATTTGATTTACTGAGACAGGCTACAAGTCTGTTTGGCACACTGGGGAACATAAATAGAACACACACACATACAGTACATGTATGAAGAGACAGGCACCAAATATATTCCTGAAGCCAAATATGTGATCTCTTATGATTTCAGATTTCAGAGTCTGGCTTTGTTTTTTTTTTTTTTAAATCTAAATCTAATATTTGTGGTACACAGGATATGACTGGTTAATTTTGAAATTCAGTAATAGTCATGTTTTAACCTTTAAGGGGGAGTGTACATTATTTTTAAAAAACATCCAGACATTGAATTGGGTACTGCTACTATTATCATTAAACAAATTACTCAGCCTGATTCTTTCACCCCAAGTATAACTCACACACGCAGGTCATACTTTACTCATGGAAACCCAAAGAAAAACCACACTGACATGACTCATTACATCCAAATGTTATGTACTTTGGACAATGCTTTGTCTAGTGGGACTGTTGCTGATAGAAAGTCACCCAACAGGAGCAGGGAGTTGGTTTGGACTACAAGGGAAAGGAGACTCACTTCGGTAGTAGTCAGTGGTCGCCACAAGTGAACCGCCTGCTGGAATAGCTGCCATTCTTCTGTTGTTGGTTGCTGTTCGCTGTGCTTGATGGAAACCTGCAGAGGAAAAAACAGTGTGAGCAAAACCAGCCTGGGCTACAGTACTCACCAAAGCAATGGAGATATGTTTCTTTATATATATATATATATATATATATATATATATAAATATTCCTTCCCAGACAATGATGCTTTCAATACCAAGGCTACAACTGACAATTCTTCTCATTTCAAGTCATCATTATCTTGATAAATAATTTTGTCATTTATAATATGGTTTCTCATTATATATAGTTAAGCAGTTATTGAAATCGGGCTTATTTGTCTATAAAAACAGTGTAAAATGTCTGTTGATCCCTTTAAATGTCTTAATTTGTGCAACCAACGGTCCAAAACCTGCAAATGTTCATGTTAACAATGTGTATACGGCTGTGACTGTTTCAAAATTACAACTGCAACAATCAGCTAAACCTTTAAGCATTGACAAAATGCAAGAATAAAATGTGACACAAATACGAGGAAAACATCCTTTCCACTACCTCTCATGCACTGCAGATAAAAACAAACCCGAGGCTTCGACAAGAACAGACGTGATGCGAATAAACTGTACGTTAAATGCATATAAACCCCCCTGGTCTAATGTTGAGAATGCATATTCTATAAAGCTATAAAACCAAGATTCAAATATATTTTACAGTTTTGTCAGCTGCATATTGTTGCACATCACGTTCACAGCTTCAACACACTGACGTCATCCCACGGTTTGCAGGGTTCTTGTTTACATTAGACTGTCTCTGCACCAAACCGACATTTTGACGTTCTTCTGTTTCGTGACAGATATGAGACTAAAATCACAATTTAAGGACTATAAATAAATACTGCCTTATGAAGAGTAGGGAGGAAAAAGATCACTAAGGTTGATGGCTTTATCATTTACCGAGAACCTTTTGTCTCTTAACAAAGACAAAAACAAAATCGCTGTAAATCTGTTGACAACAAAACTGTCAGTTACCGTTTGTGTATGTACACCACTGATTGTTATTCTGTGGGCGAAACCCCGAATACAACGAGAAAAGGCTGCAAACAAAACGTTTATTCTTCTGAGTCTGTTTACCAAAACAAAGACACTCATACAGCTCGACAATAGCTGCCATTATAACAAGCTAGCTAGCATCGTTAGCTCGTCCCCTCCGCAGGAACCCACCACCCCAAAAAAACCCCTCCTGTTACCACCATTTTATAACAACACAACAAACAGAAAAAAACTCACCTTTTAGTGACCCAGACGTGCTTGATGTTCAGTAGCACCCAATTCAACTCAGTCGGCGAGGCTGGGGGAGTAAACGCTAGGCGACGGGGCCCATTTGAAAATAAGTTTTGGGTAAATGTAACCCTCCAAGGTCCGAGAGGATATCGACGCTGCTTCTTGCTGTTTTCAACTGTCGGCTCGTGGTTTTATAGGGAAGGAGGGTGACGTTATCAGCCGGGGGCGGGACCAAGCCACAACTGCTCCGCCCACTCCGGCCCTCCTGACATTTCCACGACTCTACTTTGTTGCAACAGCGCCACAAGCGAATGGGTGACCGTAAAAACGCAACCAAGGCAGTATTCCACCCAAAAAATTATTTCTCTCTAACGACTTATAGTTTTAGTGGTTTATTCCACCCAAATACTACTTTCTGTTCAAGTTGTTTTAGTTTCAAAGGTTTCTGAGCCAAACTGTATTCTTGCTGCCACATGTGTACCTCCAATGTCTGGAAGGATTTAGGAAGTGTGGGACACTTAAGCTGAAGGACAGTTTACTGTCCTGCGCGCAGGATTCCACTCAAATTTTCAGACATAATTATTTGTTTTGAACTTTATTCACGTTCTCTTTATTGAAATGAGCCAAAATATTTACTGTAGTATTTTGTTCATTTACATCATGCTCTGTTTTCAATTGACTCTCACATGTAATGAAGCAGCGCGAGACTGAGACTATCCAAATCTTATCCAACTTTAAGCATTAGTTTATCGACGGAAGTAAATGATCCACCCAAACAAACAGGAGCTTGTCAGAAAGCTCTGATTTAACTGAGAAAAAACATGTCTGTAGCTCAAACCACTGATGAGTAATGATGTTCTAAAAACAATGATATAATTTGGGGCGTATGCGTCAGAGAAGTTGATTTTAAATGAACTATTACCTACTTAAATGTAGCCTGACCATGCTTTTTGTCAGTAGAAATGAATTTTGGTCAGATCCAGGTGCCACAATATTAGTCAGTGGCATCTTTACATCACATATTTGCAGGTTTATGAAATGAAGAGGTTTTCTATTGACAGGAAACTTCATTCTCTGATGGAGCCTTTATATCTGTGTGTGTGTGTGTGTGTGTGTGTGTGTGTGTGTAATATCAGCCTATTCAACCACATTGTTTGGGAACTTTACTCCTGGATGACATACGGATGATATTGCGACTGGCAATACCAATGACAATAACTGTTGTGTGACATTCCTGAATATCCACTGGACAATAAGCATCTCGGTTAGTGAAATGTCACAGCCCTGTATAAAGTGACTATTATTTATTTCTTGTTTGAAAATCATACCGCTCAGTTAAAAAACACAAAATGACCACAAAGAGATGCAAAACACCCAAAATTGGACACAAAATGATATCAAAAAGATACAAAATGACTATAAAGCGACACAACACATCCACAAAGGGATGAAGAATGACCACAAAAGGGACAACCCATGACCAAAAAGAGATACAAAATGACCACAAATAGATACATAATAACCACAAAGAGATTTAAATGACGAAATTAGAGTTATGATAATTAATATAATATATACATATAAAAAAAACATACTTTAGCTGGGTATGTATGAATAAGCTTGAAATTTTTTTTTGATTTTGTTAAAAATTCAGATACCATAAGAAGTATGGATGTCTCCACAAAACAATTCCAATTTTGAGAAAACATACATGTATGGTATTGTGATAATATGTTTTTTGAAAGAGAGCTCTTTGATATATTGTTACTACAGATATGCAAAGGAGAACACGCTTTCCCAACAGGAGAGTAACTGATTACCATTGTTGACTTAACAGAGAAAATGGTCCTAATTTAAACACTAACCTCGCTACAGGCACTGTGGCTCCCTCTTATGGTAAAATTTATGAATTGTAGTTGTTAGTGGGGGAAGTGTAATATAGGTGCAGAGGAATGTTTCTGGTTGATAGGGTTTTTGTTTGTTCTTTGCAGATACATGTTTAATTACATTACATGACAAAACAGAAGGTGATCAAGAATTATTTGTCACACGGGTCTGATTGGATTTGCTGTGATGTACAGTGGCTGTGCAAATGTTAAAGTAAAGTGATAATGCTTTGAAAAGTAATGCCATAATTGTTTTTTATTTACCAGATAATTTAATACAAAGTGGAGTAAAGAGAAAAAAACTAAATCAGATCAATATTTGCTGAGACAGCTCTACTTCTCCCCAGTACACTTGTTTCCTCCGCTCTGTCTGTCTCTTCGAATAACCCCAGACTGTTTGCATGACGCTGAGATCAGGGCACCGGAATATCTGTTGTAAGCGTCCGTTTTCTTCTAGTCTCTGAAGACAGTTGATTCTGGGCTAGACGACATGCACGTTGTAGGGAGACAGTGTAGCCCATCCCTGTACACGCTGTCTGTTGAGATCGAGATAAAAGTCCAACCGTTGTCGGCAGGATTCGAACCTGCGCGGGGAGACCCCAATGGATTTCTAGTCCATCGCCTTAACCACTCGGCCACGACAACCATATGTCTTAAATAAAAATCACACTATACCGACGAATGGCGAAAGTGCACACTTAAAGCTTTCAGAGGCAACAGATCTTCATGACGTATAACGGCTAAACTTTTCGATATAATCCACTTATATAAAATATAATAATACTGTCCCAATCTCAACGTCCACCCTTACAGACTCACAGTCTTGGAGGAGCGTTCCCGGTGAGTCCGTGAGGGTTTAGGGCTGCCCCACTGTCAAACCACCGAGGGCATGAGGTCTCTGTAGCAGACGTTTCGAGCCCTTTATGCACAAACTTTGTTCGCGGTTCTGCAGACTTTCCCCGAGAGTTGCCCAGAGCTGTTCATAGCGTTGTGACATTAAAGACGGGGTGACCGCGGTTACCAGGCGACGCCCGGAAGCGTAAAAAAACGGCAAATAACGGCCATAAAACAGAAGAAATAATAAGAAAGAAGAACGGTTAACAAGCATGAGAAGAACGAACACTAACATTAGTATTACAAGAAAAGAGACAGTACATATATCAAAGTGTCACAAAGTGCTGTCCCATTCTTCTTTATACCATATGAGCCCTTGCAGCCTCTGGCTCTCAATCACTTACCAGGTGACGTCAATTAAGACTGTGATGGTTCAGGGTTTAGGCCTCAGGGGGACACTGGGATTGGTCATATTACAATATGGATGCCATGGATGTATTATAATACTTATATTATAATACATGCACTGACTCAAACAGTGGCAGCTCACTTCCGGTGGCAACCTCTGACTTGACACGGCCACTGCCATGGCTGCAGAGGATAAGCCACAGCAACTTACGCTAGTTTGTTCTCTGAAGGTTCCTCAAAAATAACCATAAGTGAACGTTCCTGGAATGTTTCTGGAAGGTTATGTTTTTAGAACCTTCAGAGAATCTTAAGAGGACGTTCGCTTGAGGTTCTCCGAAAGCTCCTCAATGTTCCAGGAACGTTCACTAGTACATTCCAGGAATCTTGAGTGATATTAGTGTAAAACAAACACTTAATCTGTCAGTAAATCCAGTTTATCTTCTTACATTGTAGTTGTTTAATAATCAAAGCAATTTGTAATTTTGTTACTTTTATCAGGTTTCAATATTGACCACAAACCACTTGTCATTTAAAGGAATGCTTTATTGATATCCAAACATATACAACAAAAACCAAAAACTGTTTAATTCATTCACCATGATCTTCCAAATCTGATCCCTTTTAATAATCTACATCAGCTAGGCCCTGGACCTAAATAAAGCTATAAGTACTTTACTGTCCTCCAGCCTCTGCAGCAGCTGGCTCCGAGCAGGCTCGTCATGTGCTGCACTTCCCATTGGCACCCAAAACAAAATCATCCATTTCTATCCGTCAGTGTCCCAAAACTGATTGCAGCTTTAAAGAGGCGACAGGTACACTGCAAAAAAAAAAGTCCTAATCTTACATGTCATTTAATTTGGCATTTTAGGAGTGAATGCCAAAATAAATGATTTGAGATTAACATGTTTTGTCGTTGGCATCTTGGCAAAGCAGAAAGTCAGACTCCATGAGATTTAGAGGCAAAGAGAGATTTTGTAACAGATATTTCAATATTGGCAACTTGCCTTTAACTGATGGCAAATTAATTGTACAAATAATAAATCCTCTCTGAAATCCACCTTTCCAAATAGAAAGAAAGCCAAAAGAAAACATAATTCACCTAACAGGAATATATTAACTACCAAAATGATCAAAACAAACAAATACAAAATGACAAAACACACTTCAGTTATGATACAATGGCAACAGTTTTGAAGCAGTTTGATGGGAAGTTGTGTTTTTTAATCTGTGTATTTTCATGTTTGTTAATTGTAGCCCAACTCTGTCACCGAGAGCCATTTCTTTTTCACATGGTCAGAGTCAAGCAAGTTTAACCCTTCCTGGGAAGTTTTGGCTTAAACAATTAAATTACCCCAACTTCTGCAGCCTCAATAAAACATCTGTCCACCCATGAGACTGAATTGTGACAACACAAGAGGAAGCACAGACATTTCCACAGCCTGATTAGACTAAACAGCCTGTAATCATGTGTATCATAAACCCTACAACCGGCGCAGGGCAACATTTTGTGGTTGTAATTTGTTGCCCTTGTGTCAGCAAACAAACCAGAGAGCAGAAAAACAAAAACTAGAACACAACTTCCTTCTTTTTCTACATTCAAGAGAAAAGTGACCGTGCTGCACAACTCTGCTCTCAGGTTTACTGTCACTGTGCCTGAGGCGATGAAGTCTGTAAGAGCTGCTGTCTATCACTGTGCGTGTTGAGGTGGTGTAGATGAACAACAATAAGAGCAACAATGATTTTGTATCAGTTTGGCCTCATGCAGTGTGTGTGTGTGTGTGTGTGTGTGTGTGTGTGTGTGTGTGTGTGTGTGTGTGTGTGTGTGTGTGTGTGTGTGTGTGTGTGTTTAGTAATATTTAGTGTGTTCACAGGAGTGTGTTTGTGTGTTCATGTGTGCATTAAGGGGGTGTTGGCAAAGCTTCTGCTATGGCAGCGAGATGTTTTGTGGCCCGTCGGACTTTAAATGTCTTTATGCTAACTCCCCTTCCTTCAATTGAACGAGTCTGTACAACTTTTTTTTTTTTTTTTTTTTTTTAAAGAAAAAAAAAAGAGAGGAACATAACAAAAAACTCTTTCCTACCAGCTAAATTATAACAACAGGTGAACCATTTAAACTGAGTAAGGCCAATAGAGAAGCATTGACATTCACCAGGTAGTGTACAAAGCAAAGCATCGTCTCAATGGGTTCTGTGTGTCAACAAAAGGAAGGGAACTGCAGTCTAACCAGGGTAAAAAAGAAAACATGTTCAACCCTCAAGACGCGCTTGGTTTTAGTTTGACTTGCAAATGCTGACGTTAACATGCTGCATCTGAGATCAAACGCACCTCCAGTTTGTTAAATTATGTTCCTTCTCGCCCTGGTCTGGTTAGTCCTGTGCCCAGACGGGTACAAAACAACTGCAGCGCATTGATGAGTCAGTTTCACAAACATGGAAACATGTTTTTAGACCACAAATGTACTTTAAACAGAAGAAACTCCAGACCGACAGTAGCTCCTGTCTGTGAAACTGACCCATAGTGTCTCTTTGTTTTCCACATATTTAAAGTTTGTTTGTTTCGCCTCCCCCTGCTTTTTTCAAACCTCCCAACCTGATTACTACCATTCGGCAGCGTCGCTGACAATATAATTATTCATATATATTTATACATATTGATAAAAGTTATGTAAAAACATTATGCAAAGCAGTGTAAAATAGTTTATAATACAAAATGGTTTAAGGTTTTTTTTTTTTCTGTTTTTACATCCTGGGGTGTATATAGGGTGATGCACAAGACCTCGGTCGTCTTTGCATGGTTGGTATGGTACAACTGAGATGAGATATGCACATGCATGTAGCAGTAGTAGGTCTAACCCTAAGAGGGTTGCTGAATCTTACCCACCTACCCCACCCTCCCCCCAAAACTAACCTCTAAACTGTGAGTACAGCCTGCATTCACACCACTGGTAACTGCAGAACTGTGAAGCAAACCGGGTACAGGTTGGACAGACAGGTGGGGGTACTGTGGTGACACTAGCAGGTGCTCACAGTGTGAATGCATTGTTTTAGCACATGATAGTAGTCAGAAACAAAGTAGACAGAAAGAGTAGGTTTAAGTAGCATATAAACTATCTTGCTTATGCCCATAAAATCCTCCTCCTACCTCAGTCTGCAGATATTCTGGTTCTTAAACTCTGAAGTTGGGAGCAATAAATACAGCTGCAGGGTAAATTCCTGATGTATCAACATGGGCCGATTAACCCGCTGGGGGCAAAAATGAGCTAGGGCCCACCACTGACTCAAAGTGTGATGTACATTCAATTTCAGTTTGCACTTGGTCAAATGATCCCAAATCAACAGTGAACCCGGTGCTTTTGGGCCCCTTAAGGTCCCACTTTGCCCCCTCTGTAATCCGGCCTCATTTATCAGCCTAAAATGAAAGATGGAGTTTAAGAACCTGACATCTTACAATGCCTCTCTTCAGCCTTTTCTTTATCAAACAGCAACAACCTGTTTAAAAAAAAGGCATCTGACGAGTGCAGGAGCTTTGAGTGTCGACTTATTTGGACTAACACAGGGGTGAGGATCTAACCAGGGAGGAAGTGGAGGCAGGCAGTGGTGACAGAACAAAAAGCACAGTCTGTAAATTATTCAGATTTAGACATCAACAAAAAACATTTTCTTCAACAGCGAGGCAGGGGGATGGAGGCCGCAGGACCACCGGCAATGGGACTGGCAGGGAAAGCTCGTCCCACCACAAACCCACGAGTCCGTCACCTCCGCCAGTCGGCGTTACAGACCTTTGGGCAAGTGAGCGGTGGTGAGTCGGTGAGGTGGAGGGTCAAAGGTCAGGGCTGACTCTGCGATGTGAGGTGATAACAGTACAGTCTCAGGTCGTGAGGAAGGTGGCAGCGAGGAGGAGGAAGAGAAGGAGGTGGTGCGCGTTCAGAAAGGCGGGTTCTCCTGAGTGGGGGTGGTGTCAGTGGGGGAGCTGACGACATCCCCGTTCCCTCTGGGGCCGACAACCTTATACTGCAGAGGAGAGAGAGGGGGAGGGAGGGAGAGAGAGGTAGGAGGACGACCAGAGAGGAAACAGACTAGAGTGTTATTGATTGTCAGAGTTAATGCACTGAGTCATCACACTTTCTGTTTCCTGTTCACAGTCAAGAGAAAACACCACATGGGTCGCACTTTAAATCCTTGTCTCCAATATTTGAGCTTTTGTCTTCACTGAGATGGAAACAAGAAAAATATTGTTCACACACAAAAAATAAAAGAAGACTGATCCAAAAAGAGTGAAGTATGTTGTAAAGCTGATTGTTTAAATTGCATCAAAGCCAAAACCTCAACAGCTTAACGTTTGGTTGCCAAGTATAAATCATATCAGCATCTGCAGAACTCTCCTCGCTCTGAGCAAATGTATACATCTACAAATAAGCTGTCTGATGTGGACTTTCTGGAAACAGAATCCACTTTAAGCCTACATGACGAGAAGTCATTACAGAGCTCAGAAGATGAATTAGAGCTGAATTGATTCCTGTTATCCACTGGCTGATCGACAAATAATAATCAATAACTAGTGTGATTACTGATTGTTTCAAGCTCTTTTCAAGAAAAATAAAAATATCCAAATATCTCTCTCCAGCTACAAACTGTCACTCATTTTTAAACTGTCTTTCTTTAACCTTGTTTGATAGTGACTTGAAAATGATTGGAGATTGGACTGTTATAGATGAAACAGTTCATCAAGAAAATCTAATCCAAACACCTAAACAAAGAAATGAAACAAAGATTGCTATTGGAGCAAAAAGCTTTTTTTGTTACCTTGTGATGTTACATCAATCTGAAGGGTTAAAAACACAATTTCTGTCACACATTATGTTTATTTGCTCAGATTTTCTCTAAAATGAAATATTTTGCCAAGTTGACACTAAATAGCAATCAAGAAATCAGTTTTCTTTTTCCCAGGTTAAAAATTTGTACACACGACTTCACTGCAATGATTTTCATGTAAGTTAACCAAAGGAAACATAAGGCTAGATTACTGAGGCAACCCCAGCATCAGCATCCCACTATGATTGGATGAATTTATCTGATAATGGAAATATTATTAAACTGTAATTAGTGTGGATTGATCACGTCATGGCTGCTCAGTGTATCCCTACTGTGTCTGCTCACCTTCAGGTTCCCCATTTTATCCTCAAATGACTTGAAGGTTGCAGAGTTCCTACAGAGCAGAGACACAAAGTTACATTCACAAAAAACACATATGTAAACATTACATGCAATGATATCATGATATTTAAAAAAGGCAGGTTAACTGTAAACTTTAGCTGGCGAAAACAGAAAAAGGAAACTAGAAAAATAAAACCATAAATATTACATTTTCAGAATTTCTACATACTGTGCAAGACTAGTTTTGCTACACTTGCACTCAAACCAGTGTTTCCATCTGCTTCTAAAATGGGTGAACCCATTCTTAAAACTGATTAATACATATTTAATGAGTTTACACTCAACTGCAGCCAAACTGCTACTGTCCTTGGCATGCTCCCTGTCTAATACTCACACAACAAGCTGTTCAGAGCGTAAAATATGACACAAGGTCATTATAAAAACACTGAAGCAGCCATTCTTGAGTATCACTTAGACTCACTGCTAAATTTAAATTATTAGTCCAGCATTTCATGTTCAGCTCATTACAAGCAAATAATAAATAAAACAAAAATGAATCTTCATGTTGTCACAGGCACAGGCTTAGGAAAAGAGTAAAGTACTTATTCCCCCACAGTGTGAGGAAGATGTACCAAATATTTTGTTTTATCAAACCTTCACTCAAAATAAAAGATCTCAGAGAGAAGAAAGCAGCATCATAACAAGCACAGACATCAACCGATTAACAAAATACAGAAAAACAGCAGCGGCACAGTGCTTCACAGTAAAGATACATACATGATGTGCGTTACACTGACAGTTAAACTGAAGCAGAAGTGAAAGAGTATAGTGAGCAGATCTGTGTGTTACTTTACCTCATGGCGGGCATACTTATCGAGTGGCGAATGGAATAGTTGCTACTTTGTAAGCGTTAAAGAGGAGACAGAGAAGTGCAAGTGTTATAAAGCAAGCAAGCAGTGGCAAACACACACACACACACACACACACAAACACACAAACACACAAACACACAAACACACAAACACACAAACACACACTCATACAATGTGCTGCAAGTCATATAGTTGAAGTGCTACTGATGATTAGTTAACACATTGGTTCATTTCTCTCTTCAATTCAACTCAAAAGAAAAACAATAAACAATTAGTGAATAACTATTTTCTAAGGTTTAAACAGAGAAGTTCATTCAAGGAAACTCCTGTGGACAATAAATACTTATAAATTCAACACAACTACTTAAACCAAAACTGCCACAGAATTTGTTTTTATTTGTCCTATATTGTGTACCGGATTACACAATTATTACATAATAAAATAAAGTGTTGCCTAATCCTGTTCAATCAACTTCAAAACATAACTTAAAATGAATATAATAATCAATAATAACATAATAATTATTTTAAAATGCTAGCACAATAGGACAGGGAATAAACATTTTCTAAGAAATTTTTAATTATTAAAATAACACTATAGGATAACATGCTTAACATCTATGTGCTGGGGGAAAATACATAACAACAAAATATAAAAGGAATAAAATTATAAATGCAAGGATTCCAGTCCAGAAACACCAAAAGTAAATGGCAGTTTGGAAAAAGCAGAGGTCAAAATAACAATAGCAAAAATGGCAGAGCTTAACTTCTGTGATGAGTCAGAACTGTTTATCTGTCTGTTTAACAAATTCCAGGTCACGTGACTGTGTGATCAAACACTCGGTTGTTGTAACAGGACATGTGAGTCTTACCTAAAGGAATTAGAGAAAGGTAGAGCTCTGCGGGTAAAACCAAGGCAGCGATTAAAAACAAAGAGGAGAGAGAATGTGAGCCACAAGCAGCAGCGTTAGGATACAAAAATCAAAGCCGAGCAGTCGACAAGGACGACAAACAGGTGAGATACAGCAGCAGAGAAATCAGCAACAAGGGGAAAAGCATGAAATTTAGACTAGAGAGCAGGAATATGTTAAGTAACTACAGACACCAGTACAACTGATGAATAGTTCAATAACACTGTTTTTCAGCCTGATTTTTGTGTTTCCGTATGTTCATACCACTGAGATGTTGTTTCTCATTTACATGAGACAAATTGTGTTTTTTCACATTAAAAGTCTACTTACAAAAGAAAGACTGCAAGACTTCTAATGCAAAAATTCTGGTCAAAGAGTCGAGTTTCATCCATGGTGGCTTAACAAGTCTAACACCTGCCATGACTCTGCTGTTGTACTGATGGATTAGTGCTGTAGGAATGGTAATTATACTGAATCTATCAAGACAACAGGTAAACATGGAGTTTGTATTAACTGGGGAAAATTTGAAATACATGCTTATCTCTAATATAGTTAAATGAAAGACTTCCCTGCCAGGTCTTATTAAAGGCCACTATGTGAAAACAGTCATTTGAAGAACAGACCGCTTATACTTCATATTTTGGGACTGTTTGACAGATCAAGTCATCCCAGGTCTATACAGCTTTTATTTTAAACATATAAACTGCCACACTTGATCTAAATTTTGTATGAATACAGTCATAAATCAAGCCAATCGCTCTCATATCTCATGTTCACTCCTTCTAACCTCCACAAAAACTATGGGAGTAGTTAATGTTTTTCTTTTGATTATTTCCACACAGATTTCAGCATCACGACCTGCACTAAAATTTGGTGTAGGAGCAAAATAGGGACATATAGAAGAAGAAGAAAAATAATATCAGGAGCATTTTTGCAGCTACAGAAGAAGACTTTGGATGAACAAAAGCGAAACATGCGGCATGCAGGGAAACCAGGTCAAAACTGCTGAAATCTAATTTTAGTGGGATATATGAGAAGCCAGTGTACAACAGTTATACACACATTTGTCAACACACTCAGACAGCTAAGTATCTCTCCGAGCAAATATCAATGTGGGTGGCTAAATGGAAACTTTAACATCATTAGAGACAGTTGTGCAAGTCAACAAGGCGTCGTCAGAGATGAGCAGTTCGATGTGAAGGAGTTAGTGGTTAATGCAGCTTCACCGCGTCTAAATCTACAGTAATTGTTTCCTCTCTCAACCTACAACAACTGCACTTGATGAACTGTTGTTTTGTCAATTTAAATAATTCAAAAGGACCATGTCTCGTTACTGTGCTAATCTTTACCGTTCTCTTTATAAACGACACTAATGAAGTTCAATTTTAGGCGAAGAACCTGTCTACATGAGAGGTCTTCACAGGTCCAATCAGGTCTTGGTATCCTAGACGGGCCAAGTCAGAATTATATTCAGCCTAAAGCAGTTAGTGTTGGTGCTGATCTATTGCTGTGAGACTTTTTTTTCAACAGAACAAAAGTGTGAACTGTTAAGTGCAGGCCACACGGCTTGTGTTACTGCTTTTATCAACCGTTTTGATTTCTTCTAAGTTCTCTGGGCTCCTTTCAGATGCTTTTTTTGAAATTTAATTTTTGCATGTCTGGTTCAGGTTAGATTCCCATGGATCTGTTTTGGACCCATGAAGACCTCTAGTCCACATTGCAGGAGTGATTCAACTACTCCAAAACACAATGTACTGAATTTAGGAGAAATTCATACAACAGGGTTACTTCCAACACATACCAACCCTTTGATACTGAAATATGTACGTCTGAAGGAGAAACTATTCACATCTTCACTTTGTACAAATTAAATCATGTTGAACACGCCTTTAGTTAGAAAAATCAACCTATAAAGACATAAATTAATGTAATTTTAACACTGGGGTCTGCTAGAGTCAGTTCTACAGTTCATCTACAGCACTACTTAGTAGTTAAGGTTAGAAGATAGAGGGGGTAGCAGCTACAAGAAAAATGAGCAGTGGACTATGTTGCAGTAATTAATTATTCAGTGAATTTAAATTGATAAGTGAGTAAGTTCCCAGTACAAGCACACCAGTGTCCCAGTTACAAGCTCATATCACAAGTGATGTTTACATGGAAGGCTGGGTAACCTGCTGATCCAGCTCCCTGTAAACATCACTGAAATTATTCCAGGTTTCTGCCTTTGTCTCACCACATCCAGCTCAACTCAACAGCTGAAGATGCCCCGAACGACTGGTGTTGTTTTCTTTCCCATCTTGTCTCCAGCTACGGAGGAGCAGCATGCCATAAGCCACATTTACCTGCATTACCAGTGTCAGTATGTGGATCATTTTCTCATCATTTATCATCACGTTCTTTGTGTAACTGTCTGACTAATAGTTGGGGATGCTCCTGATGTGGCAGACTGATCAGAAATCTGGATGAGGTGTTTACATCCCACAGTATTTTGGTTTTTATGTAACAACTAGAACGTACAATTTATTCAAAACTGGGTTTGTCAAGGTTTCTCGTTTCTGAAAGGAGGATGTGATGCTTCCCTGTGTAAACATATTAATGGGATTAATGGATATCCCAGTTTGGCATCACTCTGTTTTGACACTGTCCACTCTGCTCATTTATTCTTGTGGCCTAGCCGGAGTGTCGGCCATTTTGGCTCCGCTGCATCGTACCTCATGTCGCCAAGTCTCCTGGTGATGGCAGTGCCCACTGTGGTGAGAGCTGCACTGGTTTTCTGTCCCGCCTGGGAAAGAGTCTCCTGAGTCTTCTTGTATCTGCAGCGAGGAGAGAGAAAGAGGGGGAGCGAGGGAGGGATGGAGAGAGAGAAGAAAGGTGGGAGCAGAAGAATTGAAAGAGAACAATGGAGAAAGGAAGAGGGGGAGGACAGATGGTTGGAGTGGAATGAAAGGAAGATGTGAGACAGCAAAAAAAAAAAGAGGAAAAACAGAGAGAAGAAATAAAAAGGAGAGGACAGCAGGGGAAGGAAGAAAGAGGAAGGGAGGAGGATGGACAGATGGAAGAAAAGACGACAGACAATGAACAGAAAGAAACAAAATGGATGGAGTGAAAGAATGAAGAAAAATAAGGTAGAAGGATGGGAGGGGCAGGGACAGGAGAGTGAAGAACACAGAGTGGTGAATTAGACCAAAACCATTTGACCACAACAAACACAAAGACAAAAGCTGACACTGCTCCATCACACAGTATTCACCAGCCAAAAGGTTAGTATTCACACAGGACAGCCAGACGTCAAATTCAGGCCACAGCAACCAAAAGACTCCAGCCTCCTGTTTCCTGTTCTGGCCTCCCTGAATCTGAGAGCTTACGTTAATTTACAAAACAAACAGAAAAAAATCCCCTTTCCCCCTCCACAGTATAGAAGCACAGAAACACCCCTCAGTATTAATGGCAGGTATGATTCAGCATGTCCCTCTGCAGCCGAGGGCTGGTTGGGATGGTTAGTGTCTGCTGTTTATTTCAGTGCGATGGAGGATTACAAATGCATGATGGCAAAACGAAAAACACACACACACAAGCTGCCAAACCCATCTTTGAGGGTGTGGTTACATATCAAGTATCGCAATACAAACAACATCTTTTTACGCACATAATGAAAATGCAACTATCACAATGTTTTTTTTATGTTAAACAATGAAATTATCTATGAATACATAACCCTCTGTTGTCTCTTACACTTTTCTCAATGTTATCGTTGTACAATGTGTTGTTTGCACATTTTAAAGGCCTAAGTGATTATAGCAGCTCCAAACGGCCACAATGTAGGGCTGGGTGACAACACAGTGATTATAGGGGGAGACAAGATGCAGATAGTGATGACACACACTTTCAGACAGTCACTCCTCAAAAACATCAGTGGTGTTGCTTCGCAGCTCAGTTACAGACGCATAAAGCAACCGAAGTTGATGTGTGCAGACTGAACAAGGCCACGTTCAGACTAACAGTAGCCCGGCATGGGAAAAAAACAGCCCTCTCATTCATCTGAATGGAGTCAGTCCATCAGCTCAGTGGGGGTGTCAGTGCAGGGGGCTCTGGCAAATAAACTGAATCAGTCTCAACCTTTGCTACAATGCGACATTATCCTGCAAGGTGCAGCTTTATTTAATCAAATACCTGCAGGTGCATCAGATAGATTAATATTTCTATGTACCTCATGATCATCATAACAAAAGATTAAATACTTGTCACCGTTAGTATTACACTGTGCAGTGTTTTGGTGTCTGAACCTTTAAAAGCCTTTTAATCTGTTGCTCAAACTGGACTCCCCGCATTACATTTCATTGTACCTAAAACAACATGCACCCCCCCTCGTCACACCCGCCTGTGCTGTATCAACACAGGGTTGTTTTCGGTCTGAATCCCTGAGTGTTTGAGAGAGAAGCTCAAATCCTGCCTACGTCCTCACCTCCACACATCTGGTCAATCACTGTGCTAAATAGTTATGCTTTATTACATTGATGGTTTTTAGAAAATTTGAGAAATTGTCAGACGCAGACCTGCTGATGTTGATCTGAAGTGAAGGTATGGGGCTTTTCAACGATCCAACAATCGCTTAGCTCGAAGCACACTAACACTTTTATCTGGCCTCATTTAGGTTCTACAACTTGAAAGCGTGGGTCTATTAGTTTGATTCGTTTGAGTGACCTGTCGACCTAACGTGTCTACTGGTAGAAATGTTTTTAGCTGATCTGAATAGACACAGTCAAAGGCAGGGTGAGAGAGGCGAGATGTAATTAAGGCTCAAGGATAATGGTGCATATTTTCACAGTCTGTCTCTGAAGACGTCTTTGGTGTCGCACTCTGTTGTTCACACTAAAATGTCAGTAGTTGCAGCTTGAAGACTGAATGAAAGAGCTAAGGAGAGAAAGTGGGAAATTAATTTAAAACATAATGATGCCTGAAGTCTCAATTATGTGCCATACTTCAAGAGCATCTTTCAGAGCAATAGTGTTGTCTTCTGCTAAAGCTGAAAAAAGTAGCAGGTCAAATAAACGCCCCCAAACAAGCTTCTTCGAACCTCTCAGACCAGTTTCTCATCAACTGACTGATATTTATGTGAGTTTAGGATGAAACATATGAAACAGACACTAGAGGTATAATAAAAACACAGTTCAACTCAAGTTACTGTGATCAAACTCAGTAAATAAACCTGAAGAGTGAATTTCTCACTGAAGCAGGTGCTGTTTTATGTACCAGGCTCAGTGTGGTGGACTGGAGTTTGATCATAAACCTTCCTGTGGGCAAAACCCAGAGAAACTCACCATGTAGGTATTCACATCTCAAATTTTAGAGGTACTGGGTAAAAATGAACAGACGTGTGTGTATTAGCCATTAATGATCTGTTTAAGAGAACAGGGATATTTGTTACAGCTGTTGTTTTGTTTGAGTTCAGTTTAAGAAACTCTAATTCAGAGCATCAGATAAAGAAAATAAAAAATTCTACAAGTTGTCTTCGAGTAAAAAAAATCGATTTGTCTGAGCTTTTAGAACTGACTGATGATCTTCACCTGAAGCAGACTTTCCTCGAGTTATGATCGAGGCAGGAAACAAGTTTGTTTGTTTTCATTCAAGCTGAAATTCAGTGTACGAGCGATATTGTGTTGCCATGGGCTCTTTTTGGTTTTAGTACATTCCTGTTGTGTGCAGACTGCTAAAGCTTCCCTTTACTCTCGTCTGACATGCACATCTGGTTCCAGGCAATGCTCCTAAATATTTCATACCAACAACTACAAAGATTGAAATGCCAAAAGCTGCTTCCAGGCAGTTTGTGGTTTTACATTGAAAAATAACTTCAAACGAACTGAAAATCTGATCTGCAGTGGTTGAACCTGGCACTCTGCTGCAATGATGTATGTTTAGTCAAAGTGTGGTGAGTACAACTGACCTTAAGTAATCATAAGGTTTATTTACATGTGTTTATAGTCAGAGTTCAACATTCTGGGAAATACAGAACGAAAGTCACGTGATTCAAAGTCCAAACTCCACATTCATACTTAATGCACAGACGTCTGAATGGTGTCAATCTTCTCAACTGTCTCTCTGTAGGAAAGCCAGGGAGCATATTTCTTATTTCCTGAAATACTGACCCACTTCTTCATGTGGCTGTGAAGTTGGAGTCAACACGGACTCAACAGGGCGACCAGGATTAACAAGGTCAACAGGTGTGTTCACGCTACACCTGCTAGTATGTGCACAAATTCAGAGACAAAGAAATAAGCACATGAACGCCCACTGAAATACATCCAGACTGCCAAAAGCAACCTAAGAGCAGAAATAAACACATCCACGCTGGCTGCCTGTTTATGCACACACAACACACAAACAAACACACACACACACACACACACATCTTGGGTAAAAGCCAACATCATGATCAGCTGGGCCACTCAAACACACGTCGAGTCTCAGCGGCAGATGGTTCACAGAGGATGAGCAAATACAGTTTTGGAGATAAGCTGGTGTGGCTGAGAACCAACGCACACGATTGTGTCCATCAACATGGCTGACCCTCTACACCACTGTCACTACCCACTTTCTAATTTATATCTATACATCAACAGTGGAATATAGTAACTGCTATCCTATGCATTGTTTTCAATTAGTGATTTATTGATCATTTTCTTTTCACTAATTCCATTTCAACCTTTTTTGAAAGATTACTTTAATAGTACAAGCTGTATTCTAACCCACAGAATTTCTTTTCAGCCTTGGTCCTGCAGTCCACGTTCCTGCAATAACAGGACTATGACCTGCTTTGGACCACAACCACAAAACATAAAAACCTCATGAGAAACAAATTGGTACAGCCAAAAAAACCAAATCAAAACAGTAAAAGAGTGATAAATACTACTCGCAAATGTTTTAGTCCTGCACTGGAGCCAGATGACTACAGTACCTGCCTGACACCAGGTAAACTTCTGCAATAAACCCCACCTGTCTGATGCTCCAGAAAGGTGAGACAAACACCTGTAAGAGAAGTCTCTGTGTCTGACATTGACTGACAGTAGACAAATATGTGACGTTGTTCTGTATAAATACATTTAATTGGAATTTTTTGTAACCTATCACAGGGTGAATATGAATCTTGTGTCACTGCTGTTCAATTTGTTGTAAACCTGTGGGCTAGAGTAGTTGCAACCAACGAGTATTTGTTAGTGGTAAATCGTTCTATCAATTAAATGTCAGAAAATAATGAAAAATGCTCATTATAATTTTCTACAGCCCAAAAAGACATTCTTTTTTTAACCTTTATCTGTGAAAATGACTAAAACTAAACCGTTCTTCTCTTAAAAGAAATGAGTTTAAGTTAACTTGTCCTCTAATGTTTGTTAATTTCCAAACATGAATTAGAAAATCTTTCCTGAATTCAGCCACTGACACTATTAAAAAAGATTTTTAAAAATCTACTGCAAAATGCTCACATCACAGAAGCAAAAGAAGAACAGATGAAAAAGCATGGACAGTGAGGAAACAGTGAGAAAAACTCCCCAAAGTGAAAACCAAACTTAAAGAAACCTTAACTCAACTACAAAAACAAAACAAGAACACAAAAGAGAAAGGGATCAACTCACGCTTCAGAGTGGGTAATGTCATCCAAAGTGGCTGAGGCAGACAGATATCTGAAGACACAACAGCAGGATAATGACACAGGGGAAGAGACACACACTAACAACACAGTACAGTTGAGGCACAATTCATTTCCAACTACTAAACTGACTGTGACATGCAGTTCTACTTTAAAGGCTTTAAACTGAAGGTTTTTTTGCTCACAGAAGGTGCAGTGGTGACAGTGTTAACAACAGAACATAACACAATATAAAATCATAGGACAGGAAACACTGCTGAAATTTCACATGGTCCCTAATGTTCATGACAAAACGTAACCATAGCAACTTGTGCTTTCTCCACTGCGACCAGAACCGGAGCTGAGTTAAACAAGGTGAATGTTTCCGAATGTTCATGGTGAAGTGATCATTACAAGCAAAGCTGGATGGTTACAAGTCAATCTTGTTGGGCTACGCACTCACACCATTGTGCAGCTTATTGCATACACTGCTATAATACCTGCACATTTCACATTGATTAAATCAGGCTGGGAGTCTACTTAAACAGGTCGTATGATGGTGTACTGAATTACTGACGTCTGTAAGGAATACTGCCAAACTTTGTGCAAACATTGCACCCCGCATGATCAGAATATGAATAAAACTAATTAAATTCACCTGTGCATGCAAAAAAACCAAAATGGGTGCTTTATTATTTCTCAAGTAATCATTAATTTCTTTATCTGACATATAATGCTGTGAATTAATGAAGCAAAAATATTTGTTTTGCTTGCATTAATATTCACAAACTAATGAGTTACCACTTTGGAGTTGTTGTAAACTGTAATGTAAAATGTAGTGTTTAACACATTTATATTTTGACTGGACAAACAAATCAAATTTTCTGTTTTGAGGTTTTTTTTTTTTTCCTTTCTTAACATTAATACATCTATCTGGGCCTCCAGAGCCCTTCACGTGTCAAAAGCTGCTGGTAAATTAACACACAGAACAGGCAAAAACTAATAATCCTATCTATGATTCCAAGGTAGTCACACTATTCCTCCCCCTACAAGTGTTAATACAGGTCTGGCCTCTCACTCGTGAACGCCCCCACAACAGTGCTGCCGCTGAAAAAAAAAAAATCCTGGTGGAAAAACTGTAGGAGTAATAGAAGTATTTTTGTCTCTCCGATATTTTTTGATATTTTTTTCTCCCATATGGACATTTTGGTGAACAAACTTTTATAGTCCTAAAAATGATATTTGTCATGATATTTTTATCAGGCTTGCAAAACCTGTATCACAAACCTGTGCAAGACAACAGGGTTGATACTCTATGATGATCGCTGTCTAGTTAAATATAATGGTGATAATGGAGAAAATGAACTGTACTGAGGGAAATGCTTCTCATTACTACATCAGAATCACCATTTATAAAGATATATTATGAAGGTAACAATGGTACTGAGGAAAAGATTGATATGACTTTAAGAGATGACATCAAATGTAAAGCAATTACTAAACAATGGAATTACTTTTTTCTGACTAATTTCCTTTATTTAGAAAATAAAAACTGCTTAACTTAGGCAAACACAAGTGTTTGCTGATAACAGGCATTGATTTCCCTGCAGGTCTTCCTGCCTAAATACCATAACTGTTCAGCTAAGTGAACTCGATCAATCCAGCACAGCTCTACAGGAAGCTGTGAGGGCAAAGGGACATAGCAGCTCATTGTTAGTGGAAAAGCTCAAGGTTGATGCTTTAGTCTGGAAAAAAGTCCCATAGTAACTCTCAAACACCAGGTTAATAAATCAAACACCAGATAGCACAGACTTTTCGTGATTATCAACAAAGCAGGCTTAAACAACACACACACACACACACACACACTCCTGTCTGTACAGTTTCTAGAAAAAGAGAGGAAGTGTGTTTGTGCTGGCTGCTCTATAAAACAATGGCAGAGCAGATAAGGAAGCAGGGCCAACACAAGACTGACAGGAGACCTAACTTCACACATCAGGTGGAGGCCTTGATCCCTGAATGGTACAACACTGGTGGCCATAAGAGTCCTGATGCTGACACTGTAAATGTATCATTCAACACAGCAAGCAACACAAATATTATTTCTGGATCCGACTGACTGCAGACACGACAGATATATTTATATCAGAAGATATCTAGTAAAACTGCTGAAGGGCAGTGGCTACAGACATATTGGTATCATCACCAAATTGACTGATAAGCAACAAGTAAAGATGCAGTATGTTTGAGGTGCTATAGAAACACTATCCCCATTACATAATTTATCCAGCAGAGAGCAGTGATATTTATTTTTCAACTGTAAAATGTGTAAATACTGTAAAAATCCAGGTCATACAGTATCTAAGAGATCCTTATCCCAAATATTTGTATTTTTAACTCTAAAATACGGATATTCGTATCAGCCACAAGATAAAATCAGCTGGGCTCTGTAAAGATAATACAAGCTTTAATCTATGCTGATGTAAACATCCAATAATCAACAATCACATTGCCTCACACTAAGCACTGAAAAGGGATGTGATGTCACCACATACTGTGCACAGTGATTACAGACTATAAGGAAGAAGTTTGTAGTGTAGTATTAATGTCTTCTTTGGCTGACAATTTCAGTCGTGTTAGCCATTAAACAAAACAGCTCTGAACTTAACTCTGAAAAATTTGTATGAGTGTTGGAGATTGCACCAAAACATGAAATGCATGCAACTGGCCTTAAAAAGGTCTTAAATTTGTCAGTTACAGGTGGATGAGAGACAGAGTGGATATTCATGGTCAGGGCTCAATTTTACATTCTCAGGAGCAGCAAACAGTTTGTTGAGAATTAATTAGAGAAAAAGGGTTTTAAAAAGCGTCATCTACAGAAACTCAAACATGAGTGCAAAAAGTGCCGCTCACAGTTTGACAAATGATGGGCAAGAACACCAGACTAATTACTGCTTAGCACGTAAGATGTCAAATAATAAAGTAAGGGATGACCTTGCAGGAAGCAGGACTAAATTTTTAACCCAGGTCCAGCACCATTACATCAGTTTCCCTTGAAAAAGACACAGGAGATGGCTCTCATTGTAGACAGATCTGCGCCAGACAAGACCAGCCTCTATATCCTGACTTACATCAGCACAATGCTGCTTACTGTACAACCCAGTGACTGCATACACACTGGCTCGGTCACAGTACACTGTCTGTCCGTACAGCACTTCACTGTTTAACTGCTGTATTTGTTTCACGGCAGAGAACACAGTAATTCAAACAGAAACAGGGTTTTTGTTTCCTTTACATTTCGATGTTAGTGTGTAGGAGCCTCTACTTCTGTCAAGGATTTCTTTTGCAACAGAGAAACAGTCTGAACAGCTGATCCGGAAAAATCTTCCTAACAATGTCACCTACTCAGGAAACTAAACTGTTGGGTGAAATACACAATGGATAAAGGGAAGGTGGCAGGATTTACTTTCATGCTAATAAAGCGCACCAAACCGAACCAAAAACAGAGTTCAACGGCTGACTGAGTCTCATCCAACTCCAGTTTTCATGGCAACTCGCTCTGAGTCTTTGTGCCTCCAACGTATTCATAATTCATAACCCATTTATTTCTTTGTGCAGTTCAGTTTAACTTGGAGGGCAGCTCACCCCCCCTGTTGTCTCTCTGAAAATCACGTGTCATGTGACTAAGCAAAACACCGTCTCTTTCTCTTCCTCTTCCTCCCTTCCTCCATCTCTCTCGCACATTCCTTTCCTCTCCTCCCATTTGTTCCCGCAGCAGCAAGTCTGAGCCGCCCGTCTGGTCGGCAAGCGCGACCAAGGCTCACACACAGATACAAACACACACACACACACACACACACACACACACACACACACAGACACACTTTCCTGTATTGTGCGTGGCATTGAGTGTGTGTGTGTGTAGGCCTTAAACAAAAATAATGTGCCTGCTTGCTTCTATGTGTCTCTTCTTTCCAGGGCGAATGTGTGTAATAGTCAGCAATTCCTCGGGCTGTGTAGGTGAACACATAAGTGGAAACCAAGAGCGATAGTGCGAGAGAACAAAGACTTCAAACCGGTGCACCTGCTGCTGTTGATGAAGATGTGTGTTAGTGTGTGTAAAAGTCAAGAACAGTGTTAGTGGCGTCACTCTGACAGGTTAGGCTGACTATCTGAGCGAGCTTGCCAATCCAGTTCATTTCAGAAGCAGCCACATGGAAAATTCCATTAGCCTCAGACCTCACAGCAGCAGCAGCAGCAGCAGCAGCAGTCTGATGGAAACAGGCAGAAAACTCACTGATTTAATGTTATTCTTGCCAACCACAAAATTTCTCTGGATTCTTTCAGCTGCACAAAACTGTCTTAAAATCTCTACCTCAAACCAACTTCTGAGGAAACTCAGGACGATTTACTTCAAGGTGACTTGGAGTTTTAACTTTAATTTGTGCATTATCTCATTTAATATAAAAGACCTACCAAACAAACCAATGGGTCGGCTGTGGTAGCTCATTAAAACGGCCATGGATGAATTAATGAACGGGCCGACTGAGCTCGGGCCCCATAGCTAGAGACTCAGAAATTACTTTTATCATAATTAATCTTTGTAAATACCTCAGACTAAGAGGTATAAAACTAAGAAAGTCCAGACCACACGTTTTGCCTCTTGAGCCCACAAATTGTGATTTATTTTATCAGCCTATATTTTGTATTTTTTTTCAGTAACCAGAGTGATGGTTAACCTGCAAGACATCACCGACAGAAAACACCATGGCCATCACGAGGCAGGGTTTTGCTCTCTTTTTATACCTGTATTTGTGCCAAGTGCCCATCGTCTCATAATCCACTCATGACTGTGGTTAATTACTGATGGGTTCAAGTCACTGCCTCCTGTACTGGCCAGACCTGGCATCAGCTGGTTATTATATCATTGCAGTATTTCTGTTTTTCTACTGTGTGTCAACTGATCTTATTTGGCCAATTGCCCCTAAGGCTGAAATCATTACATACTGCGTAAACATTACCAGTGTGTGGCTTTAACGGAGTCAGATTTTCGACATGTAAATGGTCAATTTGTGTTATCTAGATCAACAAACACAGCAGAATTAAACTGTTTCTTGCTGCCCTGCTAAAAAGGACGTCAAACAAGCTGAGTAACCATCAGGTGGCCTGATTGTAATGTAATAAAGCCTTATATTTTAATTTCCTGCCTTTCCTTTACATGAAACTTTAAAAATAGACAGCAGTGTGAGTTTTCAGTGAAGCTACTAGTAATAAAAGCAGGAAAATAGCATCTGAAACAGCTAAAAATATCAAAGAATGTTGAATTGAAGAGGAAGTAAAGAGGACATGTATTATCACTTCTGGGTAGAGGAAGAGAAGGCACCTGACCTCTGGGAGAGGAAGTTCAGAACAGATGGATGATACTGATAGGATGTGGGTAGAGAAAGAAAACTGGAGATAAAACTAACAAAGAAGCAAAAAATAACTAAACAGAGAATGATATAATATTTATAACAGCAGCAAAGAAAATAGAGACAGGTACTTTCTCCGCCCTGTGGTTCTATATCTGATTTACATTGAAGAAATCCTGCCACGTCTCCAAATATCACGTCTGAATCTGTAGCACCACCTTAAAGAAACTGCTTATCAAACAATAAAAGGTGAGTCACAGGCCACAGTGGACAAATACAGGTTCAGGTGACTCAGTTATGTAACTCAGGCAGCAGAGGTTAGTATGACACACACCAAATCCCACTTGAGTGCTACAAGTCTAGCCACACATGCAACAGGAGGCCTGATCGAGAATCAGTTTAGGTAGGTTCCTCAGACCAGAGAAGCTCCTAAACAGGGTCAAATGCTCTTGCTTACAAACTAGCAAAACCACCATTTGTCAATATATCTAAGGGGAAGGGATTACTACCAAACTGAGCTAACTCTGGTCTCACTCCTTACGTTCTGCATTGTGAAGATCTATTCACTTTCTCCAATAAAGTTCAGCAGGTTAATGCTCACTTATCTAAACATCTATCTTTCCAGCATCTCATTCAACATGAGCACAAAAGAAACAGACGAGAGATAAATGTCCTTCTTCCAGACACAAAGTTAGACACCAGCTGTTGAAATGTTAAAGTGTTGTCAAATATGGTTAGCAGGTGAGAACAGAGAGGGATTGAGAGTGGGTAAAAGTCAGAGCGTGAGAGAGCAAACACTGCAGAAGCCCAGACATCACCAGTAAGCGAGCAGCAAACAGTGCGTGGACTCACAGATCCGAACTGGTAACTCTCTCATTCCACTCGCCCAGTTTCTCTGTGGTTCTCACATAGCTAGAAACAGAGACATGAGGGTGTTATGCTGCAGAGGTTCAACAGGGAGTCAAAGAAGGGCTGGTTCAAGAGAAGAAGCCAGGGTTAGAAAATCCCAAAAGAATCTCTGCACTGAGGTTATCTTGAATTATATTACAAGTGTGGTCTGGCTAATATAAATAATGATCTGGTTGTCATTTGAAAGCACTTTTCCTCTTTCTCTCATTGGTAGAGGTTGAAACACAGACTGTCAGGGATTCGTATTCACATTCATCAAAGGCACACTGTGAGGAAAATCAGGTTGTTTTAAGCCTGTGTTCCCTGTGTGAAGAGTTGGCATCTTATTCACTGTGAAATTGGTACAAATGAAGTTGTGCTTCAATCACAATGTGCAAAATTGCAAATTCAGTGTTTCACCTTTGAGGACAGTTCATCGAGGACGGCACAGTGGTGCTGTAAACGGAGCAATCTCAGATCCGATCTGACATTATTCAAGGATTAAAATTCTCTCCTTTGTTTGGCTGACTTGCTGGAACGATGCTCGTGTCCTCCAGCAACAAAAGCATCTACAGCCCAAAATTTAGAAATGTATGACCATTAAAAGTACAGTAACAGTTTCATGGTGATAAAATGGTAATATCTGGAGCTTTTACATGCCAATTAATGTTTTAATAATGTTTAAGACCCGGGAGCATTTAGTTTTCAGTTAATTTCAGACAATGAAGAGTGCATTGTAAATATGCATGTGTAAGTATCAGCGCTGGTGCTGGTCAAGACCCTGTTTCAGTTACTGTTGGGTTCTGCCATTTGTTTAAAATTAATTTCCAAGGTGAAATATTTTTTTGGTATAAACACATATTAGATATTAGTGACTAGAATATTAAAGTGTTATCTTATGAAAACACAACTTTATAGTTTTTCTTCAGATCCAGTCTCATTTAACACAGTGTGAATGATATACGCACAATGTAAGTGACAAAGTGGACGGTTTAAAACTCTTAAATATTCCCCATGTGTAATGAATCTAAGACGTCTGGTCATGTCCTGTATTCCTTAGATAATATGAGGAGTTTGTTCAGCCAGAGCCAACAGTATACAAGTGTCAGATGAACCTGTTGAATCCTGACAAACTAATGAAGTCAGACTTTATATTCAATTAAGTACTAATAAGCACTATGAGGCTTTTAGAAGACCCGTCTTATAGTTCGCAAAACCACCAAATGAATTAATGAATAAAACATGTTGAATTACGTACTTGTTTCCTAAACACGGCAACAGAAAATTGTCCACGTAGATAAAGAAAAGGGTTAAAGACCTACTTTTTAATCAGGAGTGAGTTTCAGCAGTATCATTTTACCAAGAAGTTTTTCGTGTGCTGATTAAGATTCTTCAAACCACCATTCCCTGTGTGAACGCCCCCTGCAGAGGTTAATAACTGCGCCTGCTCAATTAATCATAAGTAATCATATCTCAACATTTTAGTGACTAAATTATCTGGTAAAATCTGATGATGTCAAAGCATTACATTTCATTTCTAACAGAGCAGCTGCTGTGCTTGAAGAAAATGTTCCCATAAGAACAAAAAACTGCAGACAAATATTTGTTCCCCAACTGTGATGAGCTGGATTAACAGTCTTTTCATTCGTGACATCATCCTGTGTAATGAAAAGCTCTGCAGAAAGTAATATAAAGACTTGTAAAGCAACAGTGTGAGTCATTTTGTGACTGGCTCTTTCTGATAACTGTTACTATCAGGGAATGACTGCAGGGAGGGCTGATTCAAGAGTCTTCTCACTGTACTGTGAAGTCATTGAGGGGAAAAACTGGTGAAAATCATAAACATTTCTGTGCTGTATTTCAGAAGATTGTCATTTCTACTCGTCTAAATTGACTCAGCTACTTCCCAAAACCAACTGGATGAAGTAAACATCTACTCTCCTCCTTTATTCTTTCATTTTGCTAAAAATAATCGAATATTCATATGAGTGATTCTCTTTAAAAATTCATGTCCCATTACAGGTTTTTCCACTGATGTTTTTTTAGGTGTCTTCTTAAAAAGGAGAATTGTGATACCGAGGTTTTCTGTCCACCTCTATTAGTAAAGGGGAACATCCCTCACAGCTGTTTTCCAGTAAAAGTAGAGCACCTCATCATTTTAACCAAGATAAAACAACATTTTTAGCATTTAAAAACTACAGCTCTGACATTGCAGTCCTGTGTGTTCACACCTACAGTCAGACCAAAAAGCACAGCCCCCTAATTCATTTCAATGAGGCCACAAGGGGCTGTGGCAAAATAATGAAGAGTTGAACCAATGCTAAATCATCCAGCAACACACTGTTGTAGTAACATTCCTGTTATTACTTTTTAATGTAAATATAACTCTACTGTTTACTTTCCCAAAACAAAAGAATAAAATGACTCTCACTTCTCTCATCCATTTTCCAGAGTTGCAAATCCTGTTTCATAGTATTATAAACCACCGTGCAACGTTTTAGCAAGCCTATGTTCTCATGAATTTATCATCAGTAATGGGACTTCCTAGAAAGCATTTCACCTTCTCACCAGTGTCTGCGGTAATGGGCTCAGACTCTTACAGCGCCTAATGTTTTTTCAGCCCACTGCTCTTTTCAAAAAGACTCATGAGAGCTGTAGATGTCAAATGCTAAACAAAATAATATTTTCCTCTTGATTAAAATGGCAAAATGCTCAAGTGTTACTGTTCACAGCAGTAGCTTTTTGGAAGAGTATGCTGTTGATGCTCCATGTGACTAGCTGTGCAAAAACAAATCTTGATTTAGCCTAAGTTGGGAGTGAATACCTTAACTTTTTAGTCTACTGAAGGACTTGACAAGGAAAATCAAGCATCTCTACAAAAACAACATTAATACATACGCGTTGGAGGTCTGTACATCTTGCCAGCTCTTGGTGAGGTTCTGCCTGAGTTCGTTGAGCGGGCTGAGCCCAAGTTTCCTCTTCAGCTCTGTGGCGTGTCTCTCTTTGGCTGACAAAACCTGACGCAGAGTGTTGATCTCCTCCTCCACCTGAAACAAAAAAAAGGCCAAACAGAAAGAGTTCAGTCTGGAGTTTCCTTTTTGCTTTGTCAAGCCTCAACTCGTTTCTTTTTTAGATTCCTAACAGTAGAAAGATATTTACATTCTACTAAGAAAAGCACAGATACCTGCTATCATTCCACTACATGATCAAACTCAAATCATCCTCTCTGCTCTGAGTCAAGTTTGCAAATGCATTCACTCCTAAAGGGAAAACAAAATGCTGCTTCTTTGTTCCTTGGTGCTCATTTTGTTTTCCTAACATTTCCCTCTTCTAATGAAATCCATTTGAATTCCTGCAGAGCCAAGAGAGGCCAAGAAATCTCAACCAATATGAGTATGTATGATTAAACAAACAGAATGCAGCCATTGTTATTGTTATTAATTACAGATGAGCTTCTCCTATTATGACATGTAAAAATATCTGTGGTGACTATTGCTCATAGTCAATAAAATGCCAAAAACTGTGACATCATCCACCCCAAGATGTTAATTAAAGTCAAATGTATTTATAAAGCACATTTTGACTGAGAAATTAAATGCAATAAAATGATGAAAAGGTAAATAACTGTAGCAGACAAAATTAAAACAAATGCATTTTCATATTAATGATTAAGCTCAAAAATATGTGTATTCAGGTGGGTCTTTCGTTGGGATTTAAAAATAACCAGAAGTATCAACTTAAAGTTGCTTGCTTAGTCAATCCAGCAGCAATATATAATTTTTCATAATGATACAATAATCATCTCAGCACTTTAAATAATATCAAATAATTAAGTCTGTCTTTGTAAGTCAGGTTAGGGTTAGAACAGTAAACACACATTGGAGTTAGTACTTCCTTAAGCTTTTATTCAACCAAACACAGGTTTTCCACAGACCAATGAAATCCTGTGTTAGGTCAAAACATCACTAATAAAGTGTGTTGGAGCTTTGAAACATTTGTGGAGGTGCTTTTCTACCACATTCACAAAACACACACAACTTCCTTTAGCCTATAGTTACACGCAGACACCTGGTGATTTTGGAACACCTGGGCCTTACCTTGGTGAGCTCTATGCGGAGCTCCTCAGCCTCTTCCTCTGTCAGGCCGGGCGGAAGAGGGTTGGCTGAGTTCCCCACCGCTCCCTCCACTGGCACGTCAGACAGGCTGTCTGACTGATCCACAACGAGGCCCTTGTTAGGAGAGTTCAGGTTGATATCTGGGAAGATGACGGAGAGGCAGAGCGGCAACAAGAAGGAAACAAGAAGGAGAGAGGCGAGAGGACAAGGTGAAGAATAGGAGACATTAATGGCAGAGTGAAATGGAGAGGCAGCACAAGGGCAAACAAACACACACTTAGACCAGTAGAAATGTTAAAAGCCAGCAGTGGTTTACTCAGATGATCCATCTTAGTATCTATTTCAATGACACACAGAAATTGCGGCCAGGAAGAGGCTAGCGTTGCCAGCAGGAGATATCCGACAGGAAGAGAAAGAGACAATTAGCAGAGGCAAGAGCTGAACTGCACCCTGGGAGAGTAACTTCAAATCTAGGGATGGGAAATGGCAAGATTATATTGACACCAATGCCACTATTGATTCTGCTTATCAGTCTGATCCTTTAGATTCCTGATCAATTTTCTGTGTGGAAAAAAGTTGGCCTACGCAGGTTTTCACCATCAATACAGCTGTTTTATTTTTTCTGTGTTGACAGTGTAGAAACAGTAGCAAAAATGCACTTACGTGACTCAGGTGTGCAAAAGCTCCACTGTTTAACCACTGTTTTCATATAGGTTAGTAAAAGTAAAAATCTGCTAAGCTGGCCTGCGTGGCGCTAATGTTTTATCCAGTGTGTCAAATATATGGCATTCCAACTAGCACTGTTGTCATCTTTCTTTGTGAACTGAAGCCACACTTTTGACTGTTTCTTCCTCTCCACCATGACACCTTCTTGTTGAGTTTGACTTCATTGTTTTGCAATGCACAGCTGTCATGACATCCCATGAAATAAATCGTTAAGCTTTGAAACATATGATCTCGATGGTTCGGACAAGTTGGACCTGGTTCTTGATTCCCATCCGTATTAAGATCCCTCTAGAACAATGCATACTTTTATTTTCTTAAAAAAGGAACACCAGCATTAAGGTGATCAGAAATACAAACAGAATGACACTATTTTAAAAAAAGAAGAAAAAAAAAACATATCTAGATCCAATCAGGGTAAACTTGAATTTATCCAGAGATATCTGACAGCACATAAATGACAGTTTACACACTGAAATCTGCCACCGTCCCAAATTCTATGACTGACTATGAGCACATCTTGCGTCATTCACCTGAGGACACCAGGGTAAGTTTGGCAGCTACAGGAGCTTGGCACAGCCAGAGCTGGCATGGAGGACAACAGGACACAACAAGGGAAAGAAAAGAGAAACTAGAGGCACTGCCTGAAACTCTGGCTAAAATTAGACTCAATGCTGTTATAGCCCAACAATCAAACTGTATTTATTCAGTGGGTGAACTTATACGAATTATAAACTCACACCCCACATTGCTTACAAACGAATCAACTTCCATGCCAGTGAACAGGCAATGTGAAACGAAACTACTTCACGTCACTTTAGGGATTTTATATTGAAATATTAACTTTATCTAAGCATGAAAGAAGATTTCAAAGCAACACTGAGTTCATCATTAACTCCCTGATTGTGCAGTATCCACGTCTACACGATTGACTGCACACTGGCTTGCGCAACACATTAGACAACAAAAGACACACAGCAGACAACAGTCCACAGTAGGAGAAACACATAGCAAGTGTTGCAAAAGACCAAGATTATCATTATCTGCAGATAGTGACACTGTGTGTTTGTGTTTGAGTCTGAGTCGGCAATAACATCCGTATACAGGCTGGCAGGAGATATGACGGCTCCACCCTCAGGGTATATTGATTCAGTCAAGAGTGATTCAGACCAGCCCACAAAAATAACAGCAGTGAATTTAAAATGAAACGGCAGGGCTCATGACAGAGAGAGGAATGACAACTACAAAAACATTAATAATAATAATTTGTTCCTGGGATGTGGACTCGAAGGAAATGTTAAATTTCAGATATTCTTTGCCTGACATATTTTGTGTTGTCACTTATCCTCCAGATCGTCATTTCCTACACCTCCCAGAATGCCTTCCGACAACACCTAGTCACTCCAAGCTCTGCTGTTTTCAATCAAAGGTTAGTTGCACATAGAGGATAAAATGTTTCATGGGACCTGTTAGCTAGCTGTCTAACCAGTCTGTAAACACTGAGGTGTGCATGTGATAACGGCCACACCCCTCACTTAAAAACCACCCTTGCTGTCGCATTGCATTCTGGTCTATTTTTATGCTGATGCTGATGTAGGAATTAGTCTCTGATTTTGTATGATAGTTGTAAGTCTGCACAAATTGACAGCTATATAAAAAAGTCCAGAAAACAAAGGCGCATGACAAACACCTGTTAATATTAAGTTTATATTAAGTTTTCCTTTAACAAATACACTCAGCAGTGTCATGTGAGAATGCATAAGTCAGGAAAAGTCCCTGGCTCAGCCAAAATCCTATTCTCAGGTTTCACAGCATCATTTAGGACACAGCAGTAGCAGGATTTATCGAGACAGACGTGTCCTAGTTCATTCCAGTTTGTTATACTTGAAGACAGACAAATGTAGGCGACCTTAATCACTTCCTAAAATCACTCATTCTGAGGCACAGGAAGCCTGATACAACATGACATATCTATCATGGCCACTCACTATTACAAACAGGATACAGCCCTGAAAGTCTCATTAGGACATCCCCAAAGGCATCTTGCAGCCATAATGCCCTAGAGACATACACTTGGTTGCCAATTAACACCTACCAAAAATTAATGAGTTCTTATACAAGAACCCTGAAATACATCATAAAATCATGAAGGTTATAATGTTCGGTTTTTGTCAGTTGTTTTCAAGAGGTGTTGAGATGTATTTTAAAGATTGTGTTGTGTGTCAGGTTTCTGTCTAGCTTAGATCTGGGAAATATGATGATGAGGCAACAGAAATGTGTCCATTATTCAGCTCTTGTAAGATATTTTTCCCTCCTGTCCGGACTGGATTACACAATGGCGGTCAGTGCTGCACATTAATGAACAGGACCGCTTTTTGGCAGAATTGGATTTACACATTTTTGCATAAATTTGGCAAAATAGTACACAAGGTCAGGCAGGGTTATATGATGATTAAGCATAAGAGTGAGTATCTGTTTCTATTCAACCAACTAGAGATGAGCCATCATGCGCTTTCTGTTCACCTGGAGATGGAAGAAAAGCTCTGTCAAATCAGTAGTGAAAATGATAGTGTGCTAGCAACAAGGATGTCATCAATGCTCAGTCAGTAAGAAAATGTGACTGCTGTTTGGTAATTAAGTGATTAACATTGACTAAACTTACAAACATATATCCAGGTGAAAGAAGGGGTACAGGCAAGATGCGCTTTGGAAAGCCACCAAAACAAACTGCTAACACTTTTGCTAACATTAGTCTTTTTGTTTACAAGCACTGAGATCGGCTCGTTAGACTTGAAGGGTCTGGAAGACAGAAAAGGTGACATTGTTCACTTCTTAGCTGAATTACTGTGAGACATATCAAATGAAACTCTGCTGGGAAGTTGGTAACATGAGTAACACGATCCTCTCCTTCCTCTCCTCTTGCTGCTGTCCCTGTCATTTACCAGCGGGCCCGTCCTGTCCTCAAGGCTGCACAATTATTATGACTTCTTATGATCTCTAAACAATCAAACTTCCACAGAAACAAAGCAGCGGAGAGATAATGGTGCTAGTTATTTGAGAGTAGATTAATTTATCACAACTATTTGCGTATTTCAAACACTAAGCTAAGCTATCGGCTAAGCTAACAATTAACGTTACCTTGGCTGGCGGGATCCATGGCGTCGATTTGACTGAGCTGGAACTCCTTTTTTAGTCAAAAGTTAAACTCGACTGCTGTAAAATGTGGATGGCAGACTGGTGAAGTGTGCTTTCCACTCGGCGTGAAGAAATCTTCCTGGTTTAAGTGACTGCTCCCACTCAGAGAAAGTCGTCGACAGGGACACACTGCACACAGAACAGCCCAACAGCCAGCTAGGCACATCCGGCGAGGTATTTCAAAATAAAGGCTTCAGGATACTCTGCATAATGATGACGATGAATAATTGCTTTATCATCCATAACACCCAGATTAACCCATTATATATATACTCTTTTACGCTAGGACATTGGCACATTGCTGCCAGTCACTATACACATAACAGCAGCTAGCCTAGACAATGATACAGCTAGAAAAGAACAAAAACCATAATAAAAAAAATAAGATAAAAATAATAAAATAGTTATGACAATACATTGTTATAGATACACAAATAAACGAATCCCTTCACATACAGCCATGAAGATTCTTAATAATATTAAAGTATTAGATCATAGGACCCCCAGTGGAATAAAACTTGTGAGCTGAGGTTCTCTGTGCAAACTTTATTTTTTCAAGAGTGATACAATATTTCCTCTTGCCAATAATGATGCAAGGGCTGTAATATTCTTTAATTTAATGTTCAGTGGTTGTAATTGATCATTGTCTGGAACCCCAAAAATAGCTGTCCAAACATTTGGCCTCAATCTTCTGCCTGTGGCTTTGGAGAAAGATTTGAAAAATACTTGTCCAATAAGGCCAGGCCCAGACAATATGAGTGAAATCTGCACCATCTGTCACACGTCTTGTCTAAATTATAATATATTTTTTAAGAGTTTTGCTTTTGAATCGTGGATACGATGGAGGACTTTAAATTAAATAAGGCTGAGTCTAGCACAAGAGATACTTTGACTTATTCATTCCACAGCAGTATCCCAAGCTTGTTCTGGGAAAGGTTTCCCAGTTTCCATTTGTGCTCCCAGTTTGTTTTAGAATTGATTTTAAGATCTTAATGACTCATTTTGAGGCTTTTTTTTTAAAGAGCAAAATTATTTGTTTTTTTGAGCTTTTAATTCTACATCACATTAACAGGAAACATATGTTTTGTGAAATAAGATTACCAGATTGCTGAATGTTTATTCAACATTAGTACATTATATATGGGAATTTTGAAGTTGGATAAACATAATATTTTTAATTATTTAGGCGAATCACACTCAAAGATTTATTGGAAATGGCTTGCACACAAAACGCTTAGTACGGTAACATGAAAGTTATGAGTACATCTGCCACAAAATAAAGTCTAACCTCTGCATCAATTCCAGTAGTGCTCTCAGTTCTGGTGGATAACTGATGTTGAGGCAGGAGCATGTTGCAAACATCAGTACAAGGGCATTGCCAAATTGGGAACTGCCATTCACGATGGTCTGCTCCACCGGAACCATGAAGTACACAACACAGGAATAAGATTGTTTATTTAGTTATTTATTTTTACTGGCTGTCACATGGTCAGTTATGCAAGCAATGAACACTGTTCTCAAGTCATTTTTTTCAAGTCCAAGTCAAGTCTCAAGACTTTGAGCTATAGAGACCAGGATAGCTGCCAGGGGAGCCAGCCCCGGGGAGCCAGTTAGTTTGACCCCAGGAGGCCACGCGCCCAGCCAGCAAGCCAGCTGCTGGATGAAGCAGCTAGCTTGCCCCCAGAGGGCCCTGCTCCCCCGACAGACTCACACACAAATGTTTGATCAAACAACAGAAAAACAAAAAAATATTGAAGTGAATTAAGTAATTAAAAAAAAACAATTAAACTGTATTATCAATTGTAACTGTACGATTGGCCCCATAATGAAATTATTATTTTCCAAATAAAATACATGCCTGATTCTGTTTGTGTATGTAAATACTTACTAACATATAGTATTTTTCAGATGGTTTAGGTGGGCTAGAGCCCTCCATAACTCCCATTTAGTTTTATGCTTTTATTTTGAAGGCATGTCTTCCAAACAGGAAGTTGTGTTCCTCACTGCTCACGGATGTGGGATTTTTGGGAATCTTTTCCGGAATGGTGAAGTGACGTCACAGAGACAGGTGTTGTCCAGATGTTTCGGTTTGTTGGATATTTTTTGAAGCAAAAGTTACAAAAATTTAGTTCCAAGTTCCAGTTTCTCAAAAAGAAATGTTTGCTAATTTTCTGATATCTATATCTCTGGGTTTTAGATTGTTGGTTGGACCAAACTAGACATTAGAAGATGTCACCTTGGAGCTGGTAAAAGGCAAAGTCCAAAGTTTAAGTGGAAATGGACCAGTATATATACTCTGAAGTAAATGGGAAATGAGGAACAGGTGAGTAGGAGGGGAGGAGTCATTTGGCTGGAAGGTGTGAGGAGCTGGGGTTACTGCACGACAGGTGGCTGTGGCTGAAATGACAGGAGAGTCAGTGATTGTTGGCAAATGACTGAATGAAGACCACTGTGACAAGTACTTTAAATAAGATGTGTTGTACTAGGAAATAGATACATAAACTAAAACAATAATAAATAATCATTAAACTCTGACACACCTCTGCAATCTCAAATGATATTGTACTTTATTGGTTCCAATTCATTAACCGTACAACCAATGAATACACAATGAACCTGTGGCTCTTGGGTCCCATGGGGGTCAAGGGCCCCCAGGGCGGTTGCCCGCTTTTCCCAGTTGGCGATCCAGCTTTGCTCTACACACACAAATACCAACACCCAAACATGTCAGGTGACCAAAATCAGATGTAATTAATCTATAAATCTATCAAACAAAACCAGTATCTCTGTCCTGCATTGTGCATAGACACCAGTTTAAAAAACAAACACAAGAAAAGTGCTTCAACATAGTTTTAACTCTTTAATTCCCACACACAGAAAGCTCCTGCAGTGAGAGCTGATTTTTCTAAAAAATAAATAAATAAATAAAAATGTTCAGCGCCAAATAAAACCACAAACCATTCAATCACATCTGGTGTCCAACATCACCAGATCAAACTGGTCAAACTGGATGCCTGGGTCTTGACTGGATCTATTAGTGTCTGTTTCTGAATGTTTTTCAAGGTGCTAGGCTATATGTAAGTTCTTCAGAATTACTACATTTTGTTAAAGTAAAACACTATAATGCTGTGACAATCATCACAACATATTTCTGCACCCATACCTAAAAGTAATATCACTACAACTACTCCTACTACTCTGCTGCTCCTGTATCTTTTAGAAGTTTGGCTGTAGGAACTAAAACTTTTTTTGACCTCTACTGCTAATACTGCAACTAATGCGCTTTCTTTTCCCTCTTAGTACTACTGCTAATACTAGTTCTACAACAACTACATCTACTAAGTTAATGACCGCTGCTGCTACTCCAAATACTTCCTCTTCTTCACTACAGTATTCCTACTTTCTGCTAATGCTACTTAAAGTCAAAAACCTAAAGCTAAAAAAAAGTGTAAAAGGCAACAGCTTCTGTTAAAAAAAAAACAAAAACCAGAAAAACTTAAACTATTTATTCTCACTAAGTTTTCAAAATAAAATATCCCTATATAAGTGTTTTTCCCTTCAGACACTCTGATCCAGAGTAGATCTGTTCCTCTCTTGTCCACACAGCACAGAGGTGCTGATGTATTTCAGTCTGGATGAATATTTTGAACACAACAGTGATACTAAAACTGCAGTAACTCTGGAGGAACAGAGGCTCTGAGGTTCTCAGTCTCACAGCAGCGCTGAGCTGATGAAACTGACTGTGGAGTGAAGTGCGTCTTTTTCTTTATCTCTTCAGCAGAACTTCATCTCCAGACACTTCTCTCCTTCCACTACTTCTTCTTGTGGAGGGGGTTTAACCAGGAGAAGCAGAAACTGGGTCGACGAGGAGCATCGCTCAGGGTGAAGGAGGAGGGCGACGAGGAAGAGGAGGAGGAGAGGGGAGGACTAGTCTTAGCAGGACTCCCGGTCTCAGTCTCCATCTGGAGCAGAGATGGACAGCGGTTAGGTTTACATGAATGTCCATGACTCAGTGTCACCAGGACAAGTATTTATTGTAAGTATTAGAAGTAAACTGTGCTATTGACTGACTGATTTTGCAAAACAACTAAATATAGACACAACCGCAAAGAGACACAAAATTACTACAAAGAGATACCAAACAACCACATAGAGATGGAATACAACTAAATATAGATGCAAAACAACCACAAAAAGATGCAAAAAGACTAAAAAGAGATGCAAAATGAGCATAAACAGGTGCAAAATGACTAAATAGACACAAAATGACTACAAATAGACATAAAACAACTAGATATAGTAACAAAACAACCACAAATGGTCTCTTTCAGCTTGGGCGGTTTGCTGTTTGGTAGAAGGACTGGGGGTCCTTTTACATGACAATAGCCCGGTGGCCTGTTGTCTCATAATCCGTCCATGGTAATATTGTGTCAGCTCACCTGACAGATTGTGTCTCTTCTTTTTAACACTGACAGAGGTTATTGAAGCTCAGTAAACTAGTTTAGACACCACTGGTCTATTAAGTGTTACACAGTTTGATTGGAAGACACAGAAATACTCAACATAAAATGACCCACCTTCTTGTGTACTATCAGTATTCCCTGTATTTCAGTGAGTGTAGTTTTTGCTCCAAACTGACATTTCAATTTTGAAAAACATTTCACATGATCCTCTACAGTGTATTTAAATACAACAAAGAGCAGCTCTTCACATGCTGCGTGCAACAATCTGTGCACACGCAGACAAAAAGAAATGAAATTTCCACGAACATGCCAAAAGAACTCATGGAGCGTGAAGCACAGGCGTATGTTAGTGTTGATGGAGAATAAAAACAGCAAGAATAAAATTATGTTATTAAAAATACTAAAAAGCTGTTAATAGATTCAGACTATTCATTGCTTAGTTGCTTCGCTTTATTTTATTTAAAATGTGAATAGAAAAAAAATAGTAATAGAAAAAGTCTTACTGGCTTTGACCTATGCCTGATTGTGAATTGTAATTACACAGTTTAGCCACAAGGTGTCAGCAGAGACAAGCGTAAACTGCTGTTGTCAGAGCTGAAGGGACATCAAATAAGGATTTCAGGTTTGTTTTTGTGTTATTTCACCTACAGTGGTTTTTATTTTTTATCTATAATAAAAATAAAAATAAAAAATCATGTCCATTTTTTTGATCTTATTCTTCTACATCCTTGTCTCTGTGGGGATCAGTGTACATTTGTCATGAAAAGAAAAATATGTTACTATAAAGTCTTCTTTTAATTTATTCTTCTTTTCGTCTTCATTTCATCTTTACATATTATTATGAAGCAGTAGGATAGTAGTAAGAGCAGCAGTAGTGGCAGTAGGTCAGTTTAACTCAAGTCAAAATACACATGAAGCAATTTGTATAAAGAAAAATATTTTACAAAAAAAGGCTTGAAATAAGTAAAGCCACGCCAGTCATTAATCTGCATCACGTTCATGTCAGCATTCATCAGGTAGCCGTTTATATTTTCATAAATCAGCATCTAAGTTTGAAAAGAAACACTTAAATCAGGAGCTCCAAACGCTGTTATTCTGTTTCTTTGTTTGTCTATTTTTTTTCAGAATAAAAGCCTTGAACAGCACTTCCTGGTGGAGCAAGCAGGTGTGTGTACCTGAGCTGCGCAGCAGTGAGGATGGGTGTGTCTCCTGCCGGTGTTATGTGCAAATGAAGCAGCCGATGTAAACCCAAACCCTCTGCAGGATGACCAGGAAGGCCAACAGGTAGAAGAGCAGAGTGACAGCCTGGAGAGAGATGGAGGGATGGAAAAGAGAGAGAGGCAGATGAAGGAGATTGCAGATTCCCGGAGGGAGGCGAGAAGAGATGGGGGAGAGAGAGGATGAAGTGATGAGGGAAAGGGACGAGAAAAGTGGTAAAGGTGAGGTGATGAAAAGATTTGGGGTGAACGAGGGACAGAAAGAAATGGAGAGATGGTGCTGCAACAAAAGGAGTTTTTGGGAAAGGAGGAAGGAACTCATCTAATCAAACAAACAAAGTACTGTAGTGAAGTACTTTTATTTTCTATTTATTGTTGTATTTTGTACTTTATACTTCAGCTCCACTGCATTTCAGAGGGAAATTTTGTACTCTTGTATTCTAAGATAAGTTTATAAAATACATTTTATTGCTAATGATTGAACCAGTGGTTTCCAACCTTTTTGGCTTGTGGCCCAAAACAAAAAAAACCAGTGAGTAGTTGGTTTTCTGATAACACTTAAGCAACAGATGAGAAAACTTCTTCCACACTGTTGCAGAAGTGTTTGGCGACTAAACTCTTTGTTTTGAGACATTGTTAAATTCAATCAACAAGGTTTATTTTCACTGAAATTGGGTCAATTTTTTAATTTGGGGGTAAAATATATATTTGAAATAGTTTTCTCTTTGTCCTTCCTTCCTCCTTCCCAACAGCACAGACACCTAGAAGAAAGAGCTGAAGCAGCTGCGGCAGAGTTTCAAAAAAGTGACTCTGCAAAACAGAAACAGCAACAATCAAGAATAAGAGAAGAAGAGCAAGAAGACAGTGTGGAGGTGTAGCCACATCAGCAGGTGGATAAACAGTGAAAGAGCCTGGTTGATGATATCCATGATGATGATGATGATGATGATGATGATGACGACGGCAAAACCAGACGACACTGACCTGGAGAGAGACACAGGGGGTTATTTTCTCTCCACTTTCAGTATCACTTTTTTCCATTGTGGCGTTTAAGTCTTCAGGCTCCTCGCTCTCTTCCTCATCCTCCTGTTTATTTTCTGCAAACACTGAACTACCAGCCTCAAGTTCTGCATCTCCACTCCCCTGTATCAAGCTATCTGCACTCTCCACACCATCATCTTCTGCATCCAGGGTGACATTTTTCACTCTCAAGCTCTCCTCCCTCGTCTCCACAGCTTCCTTCTCTAACCCAGAGACATCATTCCTCAGCGCTTCACTACTTTCGTCAGACCGAACGCTCCCTTTATCCATCACCTCAGCTTCAAAATCATTATTTTCTTCCAGCCCTGAAGCACAGTTAAGACCTAAAACATCTTCCTCAAGCTGCTCTCTCTCTTCTGCGTCCTCTACCCTTCCATCACTGAGCTTAAAGTTGTCTTTATCCTTCCCTGAACTTATCTCCTCTGGTGGGATGGTCAATGCAGCATCGCTATGATCAGAAAAGTTGTCCAAACAACCATCTCCAAGATCAAAACTACCCTCCACCAGAGTGAAACTTTTATCCACAGTCCCAGTTAGACACACCCAGCCCTGCATGTCCTCCTCCTCCTCCTCATTTTCCTCCTTGATTATACCAGCCCCTCCTGCTGTCTCCTGCTCGAGCTTCACCTGGGGAACGGGTATAGAAGCACTGTCTAACTCAACGGGCGTCTTACAGGGTTGAGATTGAGATTCATGTAGAGGAGGCTGATTTGGGGAGAGGGCATGTCCAGAGGGAGGCTGGTTTGGGTGAGACGTGACCTGTTGCTGCATCTGAGCTTCAGACCGGAGCTTTGAATCCTGACTCCATGGAGGTTGTGGTTGGATCTGGAGGTCAGACACCTCGGCCTGGGCCCAGGCCTCTGAATAAGCGGGGCTAAGACTGCGCCGGCTGCCTGGTTTGTACCAGCTGGGGTAAAACGTAGCATCTGTTCCCTCCTTCATCTGGATTTCTTCTTCTTCTTCATCATCGTATTGTTTTTCGTCTGTCTCTCTCTGTGCCGTCCAATCACCTGCATCACTTTCTGCCCCTCCTCCCTCACACTGATATGTGAAGGAAGACAGATAAAGGAGCATTCAGATGGTTTAACACGTTTTAGCCCATTTAACTATTATTGACCATTTCCCAAAGCCTGGATGTTTGTAGATGGATTTTCATCCTTACAGGCTGCACATGGTTCATGTTCAGGACTTACATCCTTTAGGCTGCGTTCAGAGTCACACTTGTACTTGTATATTATATATTCTTTAAACTTTTACAAGTCTCTACGTCAGACATGTTGTGCGGAAGGTGACCATCTATTCTCAGAAATGCAGCACTGTGGGGAGATCTGAAAAAGCTCCTGCTCAAAGCTGCAGCACCAAGTAACAGTTATTTTAACAGCATCTGTACACATGTGGTTCACTGCTTTATGTGAAGGACTACTTGCAGCAAATTTCAGTGATGTAATACACACACAAATAGTATTTAATGGGCTCAGTGGTCCTTTAAATAGCCTGCCTGAGGAAAAGCAGAATTTCACCTCTGAGAGACTGAAGGACAGAAAGCTGTGAAGGAGGTAAAGTATCAAGAGAAGGTTTATTTAGTTCAGTGGTTCTCAAACTTTTTCACATCAAGGCCCCTAAACTGGCACAAATTAGACCATGGTCCCACAGCTGATAGGACTTTCGCTTTTAGATGTTTTATTACAGAAAGTGTTTGAAACCCAGGACTGAAATAGTCATACATTCTGTCACTGTGTTACTTGTGAATGGAAATATAAATAAATGAAAATAAATTATTCCTTTTCGCTGGTGTCTCCACACCCTACTTTGAAAACCACTGGTTTAGTTCATTTCTATAAATGTAACATTTATGTGCTGAACCACTTGAGCCACTGGGGGTGTCCCTCATTTAGTGATTACATATTGAGCTCAATTCCATGTTAAAATCATCTTCTGGTGGTTAGGAATATGAACATATTTACTTTATTTTTTCCTCACTGCAGGTGTGGTACTGTACCTGTTGCGTGCTCATTCCCTCCTGATGTTCACAGATGTTCGCCTCTTTAACAGAGTCAGCAGCCGCACATCCCTCATCTCTCTCCTCCTCCCTCTCGTTCTTAATCCGACCTAATCCCTCATCGTTCAAGTCTGCGTCGTCAGTCTCTGGCTGCAGATCTGCCTCCACAGAGTCTCTCGACAGTCCTGGAGCTGCTGGCATCAGGGCTGGTGTTGGTGCTGCTGTCTGAACTGGTTCCACTGGTGCTGATATCAGTGCTGGGGTTGTGTCTTTAACTGGTCCTACAGCAGAGTCCAGGTTCTGGGTGGAGGTTTCCTGATGGTGTTTTGGTTCACTGGGCTCTTTGGGTTCTTCTGGCTCTGGTTCATCCTCTGGCAAAACCCGTTCATACTGACTGTCATTAAAACTTTAACAAGATTAAATATTTATGTTGCAGGAACTCACTTCACATGTAGCAGTCTTTGGTGTTTCAGTATGTATTTGTCTTTCTGATAATGTGCTTTAAGCTTTTTCACAAGTTGTACTCGCCTCAGTCTGAACTACCAAATCAGAAGATTTACTGGATTTTCTGTGTTAGTGTTTAGGAGGCTTCATCAGTTCTTGTATGAAGCTCTCTTTCATTTAAACCCTCCAAGTCCACATTAAAACATCCATCTTAAATGGAACTGTTAACCAGCTCCGATAGTTTTACGTGAACAGCCACTGTAGAGTCTGGATCTTTCTCTCAGCTCTGGCTGTTGGTGCTGACATGCTTTCAAACGGAAACTGACTTTCTGTTGATGTCAGTTATAACGAGTTCCAGACAAACAGCATAAGACCGATAACACAAATCAGAAATAGACAGAAAATGATAAAATCGTGAATAAAATTTCTCATAAAATCATGAATAAAAGCTAAACAGCAGTTGTCTAAAACGATAAAAATAAACAAGATCTAATGTAAAATATTATGAGAAGATGGGAGCATCTGGCTTTACAATCACTGAGTCATTGGTACTGATCAATAAAACTGAGCTTCTTGTATCTTGGTTATTTAGTGTGTCTGAGTGGAGATCATCTTCCTCGCTGGCTCTTTACTGCAGCAGCGACAAACTATTTTTGGACCAGACTCATCATAGACCTGAAATCCAAAAAAAAACCCTGAGGAGATCAGGTTACTGTGTGTATTACATCTGCACTCTACACGTCTTTATAAACACACCAAGCTTTTTGAATAATCTAATTTGTGCTTTTCCTGATGGTGATTTTGCTGTAGCTCAATTTCTTCCAATGAAAATTAATTGGAAACTTCTAAAAAAAATAAAGTTTCATATCACAAATAGAGTCTTTTTTTCTTACCTTTAATAAAGTCTATGCTCTTCAGAGCTCGCTCCTGTCTGCTGAAGTTAAATTTGTAGTTGCTAATATTCTCATATCCTGGTGTCAGCGTCTCGGTCGGACAGGAGCTGGTCGCTGCGATCACTCTGAGGATGGGAGAAAACGAAGCTCAGGGAGGAATGAATGAAAAAATGAATAAAAAGAAAAGTAATAGAGGTGGAGGGGAGGGAGGGGAAAACATTAAGACAGGCAGCTGATTTTGATAAAAAAAATAATTCAGTGAACACAATATCGATCCAAGTCGAAGACATGCACGAACTGAACAGAGGATCTGATCATATATAAAAGAACAATACTCACTTTGTGATCAGCTCTCTTGAATTCTGGAGGGGGGAAGAGAAGAGAGAAGTTCAGAGACAGATTTTATCATTCTGACTATGATTAAGACTTGATTAAATCTGTGCACACACCTAAAAAAACAAATGATGCATGCACAAAGAAGAAGCTGCAGTATTTACTTGAAGTGTCAAGTATTGGCCAAGCTCCAAAAGCACTAGACACTACACTTCCCATGATGCAACAACTCTGTTACATCTCTTCATCAGACCCTATGCGTGTGATAAAAGCCTTTCTTTGAAGCTCCACTCATGATTTTCTCAGACTTTAGGAAGCACCTCCAGAGACGGACCAGCGCTCTACATGAGCTGATGCTGAGCTCATTCACTGACTCTTTCATACAGGCATAAATTTAACTTGACTTTTAACTTTTTTATTCTGATGATAATATCTTATATACCACAGACTCTCCTCCTAATCTGACATTTCAAATCTACAGTCAGCTTTTCATACACTGCAGACCTGCCCACCTGCACAAAAGCAGCCATGTCCGGCTCCTCCATGCTGCTCGCTGCTCTCTCCATCAGCTTGGCGTTGGCCTCCACACTGTCTCCATAGCAACGCACCAACGCCTGGGCGTGGCCTGTCTTCTCCTCCTGCTCGGAGCTGATTCGCTGTGTCATCGCCTTGAAGGTGACGATGCAAAGATGATGATGATGATGATGACGATGGTGACAATGTTTCATCTACCAAGTAGTGTTACAGCTGCTACTACTACATACTGCAGAATATATACGTTTAATGTACTACACAGATATTTACCATGTGCTGTCAGCATGCAAGATCCTAATCTAGAATTAGACTTTTTGTATTTTACTGTATTATATGTATTATATATATACTATATGTTTCTGTGAGAACTGCTACTTCTACTCCTACATTTGTCAGTAGTATTATAGTACGGCTGTGGCCAATATTACTGCTATTACAACTGTAGTGACACTTAACAGTGGATGAGAGTGAAGTCAAAGAGAAGACCAAACTCTGACCTTGTGTCTCTCGTCCAGGATGGAGACCATGCGGCTGAACTTGTCACACACACTCTGTTTCTGAGCCTTACAGTTCTCCTGTAGTCGAGCACAAAACAAGATGCATGCGTTCAAAGTGAGTGTCTTCACACGATGTCTAAGCAAAATACTGTATGCACAACACTAAAAACAAAGTGTGAAGTGTTCCTCATGATGTGAAAAACAGTGTCAGTACATAAAAGTAATCTATGAAACTGCAAATAGCCAGAATAAGAAAGAGGAAGCTGAGACAGATTCTTCTTAAATATCAAGTAAATATTGGTTGCACGCTAAACGATATTGAGATGTTGATGAGACTTTTGTTAAGACTCTATGAGAATTTGTTTGTATTTGTTGCCATGGTAACATCCACACACCTCTATGTTTCTGCAGGTCTCCTCCAGCTCATCGATCAAAGCTTGGATTTTATCATTGGCCGCCACCAGAGAACTGACTCCCCCGCTCAGCTCATCCTGGCAAAACAAAGGAAATGATTTCTTATTTAAAGGTTGCAGTGAACTTCTGATTAAAGGTTCCCAATGTCACATTTTAACCTCCATTTATCCTCATTTATAAATCTATTTTTTTACTCTTATTTCATTAGTTTTATTATTACATTTCTATCATTTATTTGTTGTGAGCAATAGTCTTACAAGCTTATCAGTATCACCCGTAAAACCATTTGAATCCAACTAACCTGTATTAAAAGTGCTATACAAATAACGTTTATTTGTTTGTGATTGACTGATTAATATTGAGCAGTAACTTATGACTTACAGTATAAAGGTGGTATGATCCTCTAAAGGCCTGTTTTCCATTCCCAACCCATCAGACCAGTAGTGTGTTATTATTTACCTTCTGCTGCTGGTAGATGTCTGTCAGAGGAGCCACCTGACAGGACTGATGAGCCCCAAACACTTTGCAGAGAGAACAGGTGGGAACCTGACAGGTGAGACAGTAGATGTTCACCCTCTCACCCTCGTGGTCTGAGCATGTTGGCAGAGCAGGAGGCGGAGGAAGAGGGAGGGGGCTGGAGAGAGATGGAAGAAACATGAAGTCTTCAGACTCCCATTCAGTTGGTAGGTTATAAAAATGAGGGAGCTGAGTGTTTATATATGTTAAGTATATTTTATATCACTTGTCGTCTCTCTTCACCTTGTGGCGTTGTCGTTGTTGCTGACTTCCTGTTTGTAGATGTCGATGATGTTCTCCACCAGCAGGTTCCGCTGAAGGCCGTAGACGCCGTGGCGATCCAGCACCACTTCGTGTCTGCAGGACGGACAGCGGAAACGGCCGCTGTTCACCATCATGGTGGTCCGAGCCTGGAACAGGGAGGGCTGCACAGAGAGAGCAAATATAAACAGAACAGTGATGGTTTCTACATCAGCTGTGTGTCTCCGTCTGCCTTTCAACACCCAGCAGTTGGAGTTTGTTGTCATACAGCACAGCTGCATGCTGGGATTTTAATAATTATCATCAGTCAGTGTCACCGGTGGAGAATGTATAAAATCTTCCAAACATTTCCCGGTGAAGTCAGAGCTGCTACTGAAAACCCCCTGTTCCCCATCCAGCATGTAAACACCCTGAAGCGCACACACACACACACACACACACACACACACACACACACACACACACACACACACACACAGAGTGACCTTATCTTGCTGACTTAATCTCTAAATGAAGTAAAAATATGTCAGACACCTCTGTTGACCTTATTCACATTGTGCTTATTTTGTCCAAGTGAGCGATCTCCCAGCAGAGAGTGTTAGACAGATTTTCCCTGTTCAGGACTTGACACCTGATATTGGACACGCTCACTTGGGCTAAGGCGAGGTCATGACCACTGAGCTGTAGGATCTATATGTGAAAGACACTGGGTGTTTTTGTTTTTATGTGGGTGTCATTAACTTGCCAGTGTGAAATTGTGAATTACAACAAGTAATGGATACACTGGAATTTTGAAAAGAATATAGGATTTATACGCTCTCATGAGGTGGTTTTTCAGACTATTCAACAAAGCAATGTTTCACAAAAGTGAACTGGAAAGACTTTTCTGCATTTACGTAAGTCACATTACATGACTTGCAAACTATTATCTCCCAAAAATCCCTGACGCATGGTCACTGTCAGGCACAAAGGTGTTTGCCTTTCCGCCTTCGAATAAATACTACAACAACTATCGTGGTGGATGCCATCGTCCCAACACTTAGCAGATGCTGTGAATCCGTCGCCATGTTGAATTGGTATCGTGAGAGGAGAAAACCCAGCACAGACATGAGAACACATTAAACTTTCCCTTACTGTTTAAAATGCCACTGTTCTCTACGAATAAGGTTTAAAAAATGACTTTAAGGAGTAGGCTGGTGCTTTAACATCAGATGTGGATGGAAAATTAAATTACAACAGCAACAGAAAACAAGAGATCACAAGAGAAAACTCCAGAAGTGGAAACCAATTAGAGAATTGAGCGTTTTGGGGGGAACAGAGAAGCAGAGAGACAAACAGACGAGTGAAGAAAAGGACGGATGAGCGGAGAGACAGAGGGAAGGTTAGAGGGGTAAAGAGTCCTGAAATAGTGGCCTTAATAAGCCTCAGCTGCTGCTGGGCCTGACTGAGGGATCAGAGCTGGTCAGATGGGGGGCTGGTAGAGACACAAACACAGAGGGCTGACGCTGACCGGGAGCACCTTGTCATTTTATGCTCCGACCCAGCGGTCTGGTTTTATTTAAACCCATATCACCCGCATCCGACACGCTGACATGAGAACCGACTGTTTACTTATCGCGTAATACATCCCAGATCCTGACGCGTGACACTGTTACAAAATAATATTTACTTTATCTGAGTGGTCATGATGTTTTGACTCATCAGAGGCAGGTTAGCTGTCTGTTCCATGTCTTTGCGCTAAGCTAAGCTAACTGTCTTTCACAAGTCCCTGTGTAATGTAAGAGCAAGTGCAATTCTAAACCACTGCAGTGCACCTTTAATCCTGAGCCCGTGCACTGATTTGTAAACAGCAACCATGTCATTTCATTAAATCCCAAACCTGCAGTAAACCAGTTTGACCTGGTGTGGACTGAGGGTCTGTGATGTGGATCAGCAGGACTGACGTGGGCAGGTGAAAACTAAATCTTTTTATTGCATGTACGCTGATGTCTGTGTGCGTTTGTGTGAGTGTGTTTCGCAGGGCAGACCTCTCAGTGTCAAAGGTCATGAACATGAGCATGACAGTGGGGGCGGAGCCTGTTGGGTTTCCATCTCAAAAACCATGCACATGCAAAAACACACATGAAAGCACATGTTTATGCAAGATCACACACACACACACACACACACACACACACACACACACACACACACACACACACACACACACACACACACACACACACACACACACATGTGGAAAGCATTTTCATGTTTGTTTTCCTTTCTAATGAAATGTTGTTAGAAAAGCTGTGTGTGTGTGTGTGTGTGTGTGTGTGTGTGTGTGTGTGTGTGTGTGTGTGTGTGTGTGTGTGTTTTGTTGATGCAGCTCAGTAAAACTACAGAGGTCAGGGATGTTAAAGGGAGCAGGATAACGAGAACCGGCTCCATATTCTAAGATTCACGCGGAGCCAGATCACAATCCATACACTGAAGAAAAATCACGTGCACATGTGGTTATTACATCATTGGCGATGTCATAGTCGCTGATACATGAGCTCAGCTTGATGCCTTTTGATTTTGACTTCTTTGCAGCCTGTACAGGTCACACGTCCTTCAGTCATGCTCAGCTTGTTCACCTGCCAGGACATTGTTCTCTACTCTCACTGTGCAGGTCAGAGTGGGCACCAACATAGTCTATTGGCAGTGATGGTGAACACCTGCTCTTTGATGAGGAGAGCATTACGTAAATGTGCCAAGAAGAGCCCAGCAGTGAAGTGGTGTGAAAGACGACCAGCGGAGCAGTGACAGAAGATTTTAAATCCTCTGAAGGATCCAAAGTAAAAGCATAAACATACATAACACAGAATGTTAAACTACTTTAAACTATAACAGGTATTTTACCAAAGTAAAACACTGCACTGTAAATACACTTCATTACAAGTAAAGGAAGACAAACACCAGCTGAAAACTGTCACTAACAAGGGCCAATCACTAATCTACAAAAAATGAATAAATAATTTCATAAATATCAATAAAGCCATTAGTTACTACAAATGTTGTAAATACAAAGTTATGAATTCAGTTTGTCAGTAATGCATAAGTCTTAAATAATGTCAATATTTCTAATTTTTCTTCTTTTACACTCAAGATATGTGTCAGTTCTTCCATTAAGAAAATTTTGTCAATGATTATTATAGCTATCAGTCTATTGGTCCTTTGCTGAAGGTGTTACCTTCGACACCTCCTTATATTGGCTTTTTCTACTGGCTACTAACAGTATTTTAACTGTTATCCGTCACTTCTCATTGCACTGTGTTCAGAGAAAGGAAAGAGATAAAGAACCAAACACCTCACAGGGACATGATAACTTTAGTATTTGTTGTAGCACTTTATGATGCCCCAAAACAGTTATTGTCTGACATTTCCAAAAGAATATGTGAGTGATCAACATCAAGTGATCCACACATGAGTAAAGATAATGGTAAGCTATGTTGTAGCTAGTGGTGGAAAGCAAGTTTGAACTAATTCATATACTTAATACTATACTTAATATACTGTTGGGCTGTATATTCTACGACAATGCATCTTTCAAAAAATCTACAAATTGTATGTAAACTCTGAACCTCCAAAGTAAAAACTTAGTAAAGCTGTCAGATAAATGTAGCAGAGGAAAAAGTACAATACTTGCAGATACTTACAAATACTTCAGAACTTGTAAGTAATTTTATAATCTCAATCTCCAAAATAATTTAACTACAGCTGTCAATATAAATCTTGTAGAGTGAAGGGTACATCCCACACACACATATGCACGCACGCACACACAAACACGCACACACACAGTCTGAACAATGGCAGTGAATATAGGTCAGGCAGGTGATTTTCATGTACATGAGCAAACCAGTTAAACATCCACACATCCCATTTTAGACACTGGTAATCCATTGTACTCACAAACACACACACACACACACACACACACACACACACACACGTATATGCACATTAGCAGTGGCCTACATCATGTGTGCTGTCTCTCAGACCTGGTAGAGCTCGTTGGCACACTTCCTGCAGAGGTTGTGCTGGCAGGGCAGGATCACCACCGGTTTGTTGAACAGCTCCAGGCAGATTGGGCAGATCAGCTGTTTCTCCAGCGTCGCCAGCGCCGCCTCACGATCTGCTCCCCCGCCGCCCTGCAGGCAGCTCAGGTCAGCCGGCAGTGACATGGCCGCCCCGCTGAAGTTCACCTCTTCCTGATGACACCAGAAAGGATTGGCAGCTGCTGCAGTTAGCCTGCAAGCTTTTCACATTGTGGACCAGTAACTATAAACTGCACACACTGGAGTTACTGATGAACATTTTTCAAAATACACTTCATGTTTTCAGATTGATTTTCTCTTGGGCAGCCACTTTTATTCAGTTCCACGATAATCACTTTGAAGCTTCTTTGAAATATGTAAAAGCTGGAAACTCAGATATCTGAGAGTTGATCAACAGCTGCTAAACGATTAACAAATGATCATATTGACATCATTGTCCATGTTTCATAATCAGGTGTTCCCTTAAATAGCTTTAAAGGTCCAATAAAGGTAAACAAAGAGGTAAAAGAGGCAATGAAAGATAAAAGAATATATGAAAATATATGAAATATATAGAAAATTAAGAGAATCAACACAGGAATAAAGAAAAAGAAAGGACAGAAATGTAAAGAAATATAAAAGTTGACAACACTTTAAAACTACATAAAAACCTTTTACTTGTTTACTCACCTTCCTCTGCATCTGCTGATCGTGGTCAGCGAAGGTTCAGTCAGTTTCCTCTGAGTTCAGTTTCTTCTGTGTCTGACTTCTCTTCTGGTCTCTCTGTTCAGTCAGATGTGTTTTCTTTGCAGTGTTTCTTCAGACATGCAGCAAATCCTCTGTCAGCACAAGTGAGATCCTGCAACCGTGTCTAGTTTTGATTTAAAAAATGTTTGTGCAGTATATGTTCCTTAAGATGAACTTCAATTAATTGCAGTTTTATTTTATATTTCCAGGATTTAATTTACTGTAAAACTCTTGTTGAGTAAGTTCTGCCTGACGCTGCTGACTTGTACAGAGCGCAGAGGGTGACACTGTACAGTAAGTGTCAGGTCTGGAAATACCCGAGTCACTCAGTTTAATCATCAGCTGTCAGCAGGAAGAAAAGCTCTGGAAAGGAACTTTTAATATCCAGTGTCTTAGTGAGAAAAGTCACAGATGTGCACACTGATTAAGCATCCAAAGGTTGAGGTCAAGAAGCCTAATCGACATCAGTTGGTTAAAGAAATGCAGTTTAAAGTCCGAGAAGAGAAATGAAGCAGGAGCTGTGGCCTCCTCTCAGAGCTCTCCTCTTCAGCTCCTGTGACACCGAAGACTGACGCCAATACTGCCGGGACAGGACATTGGGACGGTGTCTGTCTCTGTCTCGCTCTCTTGTCTGCTTCCAATACTCTTCCTCCCTCGCTTATCAAACACTCACTTCATTCCTCTCTTTCCGCACAAGCAGCAACTGCTGCGTTTGTTTGTTCACAGCTTTCTTGCCATCCGCAGCAGTGTGTGTGTGTGTGTGTGTGAGACAGAGAGAGAGGACACATATGGGTGTGTGTATGTGTGTGTCAGGTTTCAGCCCAGTGCCTCTGAAATGGTCCCAACACACATATGCACACACACACACACACCATATCAGGCAGTGGCTGGTATGTGGACAGATTAAGACCAGGCTGTGCTCTTTCTACTGTTACACACACACACACACACACACACACACACACACACACACACAGTTTAAATGTGCTAAATGCATTTTACTATTGTTTCATCATTATCACATTAACCTCACCATTTAACCTGATTATTGCGTCAAATGTTAGTTTTACATTTTTCTTTAACAGCCTTATTTCATATTTATAAATACAGTTTAACCATTCAATAAATTGACTATAACACCCTAGAATGTAAGCAGATATGAGGACATGTTTTAAGTGGTAATTAATGTACAGTATTTTCAACAATTAAAACTTCTCCTCTTTTGGGGAGTGCTACTGCATATGAAAATAAGACCTTAATCCTTGTCTTAGCTTCAGGTGAGTCTCAGGCTACATTAGTCACTACTAGCATAACATGCACAAATCTCAGACTGGAGGTGGTAGAGTTGTATTGTGGGTAATGTGGGCTCCAGGATTTGACAAGGATGAAGAAGGCATGGAATAAAAGATGATATATCTCGGTTTTGATTTGATCTTTTTTTTTTAAAACTGTTTATTGTGGGTACCACTGTGTTATAGGAGTGCAATGCTAAATCTCAGAAGCATTCTTTAAAGTGCCCTGCATTAGAAACATAAATTCCTCTTGGATATGTTGCACATAGCTTTGGTAGTTGCTACAAAGCTTCATGATTATTAATATGGTTTCAAAGCAAATATTAAGCCAAGAATGCAGGTCAGTGTGGTTTGTAGCTGCTAAATAAACTTTTGTTTGAATTGGGAATTTGTTTTCACATCAATTTATATTTCTATTATTAGGATTATCAACATTTCTGTATGAAAACTGAGCTATTTCATTTCATTTCAAGTTCCTGATCCATACAATCTTGTATTGGGAACTACAAATGTGCCTTTTGGTGCCCAACAGGGAAGTAATGTAGGCCCCCTTCTTTCCTTGTTATAAATGCTTCTTTTGGGCGATATCAGTAGTCACTCAACATTCATTATTACTACTGTGCAGATTACATTCCTCTACACATTTCATGGGATAAATATAAGGTACATACAGACATATTTGAGGTCATAAATGCACGCTTTCCACTTTTTAATCAAAGAAACTCACATTGAGAAAAGAAGCTCTGAAGCATCAGAAACATTTATTTTACAACAGTACATCAGATACTTAATTTACCCATACGTCTGCCTGACAGACGAAAACATTATTAGTCCATGCTAAAAACAGAAAACTCTACGTCTCTATGTACTGTGCCACTGCGTGTATATACAGCAGGTCTGCCATTTTGTCATGTCGTCAAAATGGTTCACATCTAAAATGCTATACATCCCCTTGACATACCAGCTAGTCGTTAATCAATTATTAAAAAGATAAGAAAAATAAAATAAATAAAATAATGCTTCAATATTATTATCATCTGGTTGCTATATTCATGTCATTGTTTTGGATCTAACAATGGAAGTTTGTTGACTCCGCGCTGCATTTGTTCAGACACTGCTGCATGTTTGGTCAAAAGAGGAGAAATGACAGAAATATATCAGGGATTAGGGATTTAACAATGTGACATTTCAGTAGGCAGTGATTACATGACATGAAGCACAAAAACTAATCAGGTGAAGATAAATTTGGTTAAAACAGAGCATCTGCAGGTTTCATAAAAACCCTTTAAAAAGACTCCTGAAAGATCTTTTTAATCCAAAATTGGACTGGAAATATAATTTGAAAAATTTCAGGACAAACTTAAAAACTTAAAAACCAAAACAAGGAATAAAAATCAGACATCTACCTGTGTTCAAATGTGTTAACTCTGATTTGTACTGATCCAAAAGGATTTGTGGGATTTAATGGTGAAGACGTCTCATTCTTCTTTGTGGCCTAAAACTTTTTTTTAAAAGATTTTTTGTGAACCTGCAGATTTCCTGAAACCTTTAAAAATTGCGATTGGAAGTCTAGAACTGGAGGGCAGCCATGGAAGAGACTTATTTAGCTCTTATTGCACTTTCTCATGATATGTATAAATACATGAGTGTGTGTTTGATTGAGCAATCAAAGGAAATATAGTCAGCAAATTAGCCTGTTTGGTTGGATCTAGGTGTGAGGGTTTTTTTTTTTGTTTTTTTTCTTACAAAAATTAAACAGTTGACACAAACAACCACAATGTTCCTGTGTTTTCTACAATAGCAGTGAGAGTGATACTCGTGTGTCACAAAATAAAGAGGAACTACAAAAAATTAAGTGTTATTCTGGAAAATCATACCCTAACTAATCAGTCTGATGTAAACTGCTTTCCATTTGCTTTGAGAACTGTATAATCTGCTAAACTGCTGCCACACAAACAAGTAAGACTTTGGATATCAATATCCTCCATTCATTAACATAAATAAGAAAAACAATGAAAAGCAAATCTACAGAGATGAACAGAAGAAAAAAAAAAGTGTTCAAATTTCCGACCTCCTCAAAGAAATACAGTGAAATCTAAACACACAGTTTACACGACATGTACAATATCTTTTACTTTCTCACAAAACAAATTGAAAACTAAAAACAAACAAAAATCGGGCTCAATCAGTGTATGTGTGTGTGTATGGTATGTCCTTCAGGGGGACAGCGAAAGGTCACTAATATATGGTAATGTACTGGTAACTTAACGTCTGGTACTAATAACACTGGACTCAGCTTTAAATGTCAACCAGTGAGCTCAGTCCTTCACATGTGGAAGAAAGAGCGAACACACAGGAAGAAGTGTGGAAGAAGAAGAGAGAAAGTGAGAGAGAGGAGGAGGATCGCATTGAATCCACAGTTGTGTTAATGTGACTAACTGCGAAACTGAAGCAGTGGGATTACGTTGTCATTAAATAATAAGAGTAACTGATCACTACAAGACTTTCCATGGACCCTGGATGGAGTAGAAAAAACCCACCAGTGACAGTAAACATTTGCAGTATTACTTGACTGCTGGCTGGTGTTGATTTCCAGCTATCTGTTCAGTCACGGTCACACGTGCAAGAGATGGTTAAGATTCAGTCCCAGCAGCTGCACAGTTTCCAGAAGAATCTGAAACCTCCTCTGGTTAATTGTGCAGCGGTAACTGTGCTGGATGACAGAGAGAGCTGACATGCTAACAGGTGGCTACAGGCCACATTCATCAAACATAATTAGTTCAAATCTTTAGGAATCTCTTTCCAACTTTCTTGGACTTTTGTGATAACTTGTTGGTTTGTAAAGACCATCCGTCTGCCGAAGCAAAACCTGCAGTTACTTCAGAATGAAGACTCACTGAACTTTCTGAACCACCACTTTTTGTTTGATTTAAGAGAAGTGAGGGGGAATCGATGCCAGTGTGGCACCTGTTGACGTGCGAGCTGCCCTCTCCATATCGAGGGGGGGGGGGGCTGTGATCATGTTCATAAGGGTATTGAGGACAAATAAACACCTCTACCCCCACCCCCACCAAGTCCTATCAGCTCCTCACAGAACATAAAGATAGGGTCACTGACCTACTTCCAGCCAGCGTGGAGCAGAGCTCAAAGGAGACAGCTTCTTTCTCACGCACCAGAAAATAATGTTTCTGACTGATTAACAACACAAAGTGCTGAATGATGTGTCCTATATCGGCAGTTGACAAAAATGATGCAACTTGTTTTTACAGCTACAACCAACAATATAAAGTTTATTACACGCTATGGCTTCCTTAACTCTTAGATTTATGCAACAAAAGAAGAAGAACATCCACCTCCCTCTACAACATCTCGACAGGCGTCTTTCTCAGGACTGTGCTGGTGCTCACAATAACAAACTACAGAAAAAGAAATATAAGAAGTGAAAACACAATTTTATGCCTTAAGCCGACTATGGCACAATTTGTCTCACATGACAAAAGCATTACTGTAAAACTTCATTGCACATTTTTAGTGTTACTTATCTTCCAGTACTACACTTCCCACTGTTTAATCGACGACAGAAGGAATTGTAAGGCTTTTACTTTGTTTTTGTGCTAAGCTTTAGCCGTTTTCATGCTTCCTATTGATAATTTTTGTAGTGTGTAAAAAAAAAGGAGTTTATACCTCCTACAGGTAAAACCATCTACTAATGTATTTAGTAAATTCTGCCAAGTCAATACTAAAACCTTAATGCTGCCCTGCTGTGAGACAGTTGGTCTGTCCCTGTTTAACTCGGGGTCCATGCTCCTGATCACATTTGGATCATGTTGATTGTTATAAAGCGTATTTGCTATTTTTGTTGACAGCCTTTTATTGTGAGTGTCTGTCACTCTTTAAGGTGACTGTTACACTGCGTAATAAAACTAGTTGTCTGATGTGTGTGTAGGAAGAATTTCACACAGGATCACTCATGTTTCTTTACATTTTGTCTAACAAGTGTTAAAAGTTTATTTTTCTCTCCTCCTCTTTCACTTCTTTCCTCCTCTTCTCTCCTCTCTCCACCTCTTTTTTAATTTAGAGAGGGAAAAGTTTGGGCTGAGCTGGTGAGCCAATGCTAACTGTCAGAGTGATGTATGTATTGTTTGCTGGTGTGTGTGTGTGTGTGTGTGTGTGTAATTAATAATTACTGCTGCGGATGAACTGACAAAGAAAGTGTTGCTAATGTATGTTTGTGTAGTATGTATCAGTCCTGTGATTGTGGTGGAGCCGTGTGTGTTATTGGTTGATACTGTAGCTATGGTTACTTGTCAGGTGTGAACTGAATGTCTGTTTGTATATATATGTGTTTTTGTGTGTGTGTGTGTGTGTGTGTGTGTTTAGTATGCGTCGGTCCTGTAGCTGTGGTGGGCATCGGAGGTGAGCTGGGTGGTTTCTGTGGCTGAGGATGGCTGCATCACGATGGGCTCACCGCCATCTGGGGAGAAAACACATATTCAAAAGCATGCGAACTGCAACTGACAAACCATAAAGAACGAAATATGAAAGATAAAAAAGGTCTGTAAGTCCCCTGCAGTACTTTGTGTTCACAATCATGTTTCCTTGCATTACCACACAAAAACTTTATGCTGCATTTCCAAATTAAGCACATGTCCACTAAGAACAAACGTCATGTTTAGAAGTTGAACTTGCTGACAAAGATCCAGAGTGCTACCATCTCTATTTCAACTAATAACAGTCTAACAAGGCGTCATCCACGCGCCCCCGGTCCTCACCTCTCTCGTCAGCGGTCATCTGGGCCTCCAGGTCTTCGGGGGAGACGTAGAACTCGGGCTCCTGGTCCATAGGCGGCCGAGGTTTACATTTACCACAGCAACAGTTACAGCAGCAACACAGGCAACAGCAGAAATAACAACCTGTGGCCAGGCAGCAGAAGACGAACAAGGCCTGAGGGAGGAGAGAGAGAGAGAGAGATAGAGAGAGGCAAAGAGATATTTAAAAAAAAACGTGGTAAACATGGACTAATGGACTAGACAGAGCAGAGGCAGAGGGACAGGGATGGAAATCAAGAACCGGCTCCAAGTGAGAACTGATTCCAAATTGTCAGTATCATTGGAAATCGTCAATTCCTTTTATCAATGCTTGAAAATGTTGAAAAGAAAATCTTGGGGGAACCTGTTTAAATGGGCCTGATGCAGCTGATCAAATTAATAATAATACTCCAGCCATAGCCTTATAGGCTTATTCTTACATTTTAAAGTCAAAGCGAATTGTATACTATTGTGAGGACTGGACTAACCAGGGAGCAGAGCCAAACCTCAGTGTTATATTTTATTATTTTCGACAATTTTTTATTCATGTTAGTGTTAATATTCACTTGTCTTAAGATTCTATAGAATCTTAATAAAATAAATAAATATTGTTTGTTTATATCTCATGCTGATCTGTATTGGTCGACTTATTCTTAGACCGACACATGGAGTAAACTGTTTTGAAGGAGGGAGGATGTAGTGGGAGCACTGGGGTGTCAGGTGGGATTGACTGCACTTCAAAGTCTGTCAAAAACAAATAAATAATGTAGCACAGCTAGCTGGTCCCGTTCAGTCCTTCCTACCTTGGCCCACCAGCTGGACAGAACAAAGTAGGTGTTGACGTTCTCCTCTCCAAACTGTTCTGCGACATAGAGCCCCAGCGAGCCGTATTTGTCGTAGATGTTCTTCTTGGTGGCGTCGACCAGTATGGAGTGGGCGTTGTTGATTTCCTTAAACTTCTCAGCTGCCTCTGGGTTGTCCGGGTTCTTATCTGGGTGAAACTTCAAAGCCAGTTTCCTGTGAAAAGACAGAGGGAATTGATGATTAAGACACAGGAGTAAAGTGACACACACCCTGTGCTACTATGTCTTTCTCTAAAATATGGAGCTGTGGCAGGTGTAGCTAAAAAACTTTTAAGTAAAGAAAATGACCACAAACCTGTCTTTGGTTTGAACTGTCTTTAAAAGCAGGGGGAAAATAAAAACAACAGTTTACATCTTTAAAACCTAAACCTAAATCTAAATGTCACCGTTTAAAAATGGTCTTTAAATATGAACTTCTGTTTATTTCAGTCAATCCACTTGACCCATTTAAAGAGTAGGACACAGACCACTGACGCCCTCTAGTGGTGTCCAACATAACACATCAGCATCAAAGATGGCGTCACTCCCAACACTGCGGGGCTGGTGTGGTAGATCATACCTGTAACATTTCTTGATGTCCTCTGTCGTGGCGCTCTTGTCGACTCCCAGCACAGCGTACAGCGATTCTCCTGATGTGGAGAGAGCCCTCTGTCTCTGCTGCTCCATGGCCTCTCTCTCTCTGCTCGCTCGCTCTCTCACTCACTCACTCTCTCGCTCTCTTGCTCTATCACTCCCTCACTCTCACCTGTCAAGGAAGAGAAACAAGAGGAGAGGACAAAGGAGCTGGTGACCAAGAGGTTCAAATCAAAACAACTTTACAACTGTACGTATTCTCTTGTATATAACAAAAACAAAACAAAACAATACAGATAAATTAAATGACCAATTAACAAGACAATTACAATGGGGGGTGCGAATATGATTATGTTAAGTACCAATTAAACTGCTGATTATTTTCATGATTAATCGATTAATCCTTTGATCTACAAAATGTCAGTATCTCAAATGTACAAAATCACAATATCTCAATATAATTGTGATGTGGCAAATAAAAAATATTTATATTGTTGATTTACTGATTAATCTGCAAATAATTTTCTTAATTAACTGATTGCTATTGTCAATAAAAGTGATCAGTTAAACAGTTTCCCAGAGGACAAGGTCCTTCAGATATCATGTTTTAAACCGACCAACGTCCCTGAAAAACCCCAGAGATATTCAGCTCACAGTGATATAAAACACAGAATCTGTGGCATTTTTCTGTCTCCTGAGAATCAATTAATTGACTAATCAAAATTCAATTATTCTACATAAATGTCCATACTGTGTGATGGACAGAATCAATCACTATTCCGTCCCATCCAGTCTCCGAATGTCAAATCAAACTTTCAAGTACAGGACGACCATTAAGACTCTCTGCTGCTGATATATTTTACACTGAACAGTGTTTTTCCTTCCTGGTTTTACAGAGGCTTAAATGGTAACAAATCTAGGGCTGAGCATTTTTCACAGGGACAGGAGGAGAGACTGTAGAACATCTTTAGTCAGAAGTATTTACACAGTACTGCATGAGAGCAGCTCCTGTGTGAATGTAGAAACATTACTATAATATTTAAGGAAATACCATAAGAGCATTAATGGAAGTAATGATAAAGACAAAATATAATTTATCAATATATTCATTTATATATGTTTATGGCCACATGGTGACAGTGACTTTGCTAACATGGTGTTGTGGGATTTCAGAGTGTGATGGGCAGAGGAAGAGAAAGGAATAAATGAGTTAAACCTGGTTAACCTAAGTTCATGTCACACAGCCAGACAGACAGGTTTATAAGGCAGAGAGATTTACAATCTGTGTCCTGAATGAACCTGACTTTTAGTGAAAGGAGGAGACGTGGTGGCTCCTGGCAGACACAGTGAAAAAAGGAGGCTTTGATGTAGAACTGTCAGTGTAACCAGGAAGAAGGTCACAGTGGTTAAAGGTATGTTACCTGAAAGGTAAATTGATGTTATTTTTATTAGCCGGATGACATGCCGCAGATGGTGTAGCCTAACATGTCTTATCTGCCAAGGAGTTATAAACTTAAACATTATTAGCTCCGTGCAAATATTAACCCTTTGCAATATCACACGTACAATCAAGCATCAACATCATTTCAGTCAACACACAAAAATAACTTCCCAGGGAAAAATCCACAACAGGCATACAAATATCTAATATAAACCTTAACTCATGGTTTTACCACCATAAACATCATGTCATGCAATACCCTAAATTCAGAGTTCACCTTAGTGATGCTGATTAGTTAACCTCCTCCACCATGTCATCTCTGGTAAGTCAGCTGTTATCTTATATTTAAATATATAGAAGCCAAATACATTTCTATTGTGGATGAAACATGAAAGGATGACAGTGCCTTTCTTTATCTGCAGGAAGGAAGTGTTGAGTATCACCATGACAATAAGGTCACACTGCATGACAGTTGCTGCTTTCACAATCACAGTAACCTCTATAAAAAACATGTCGAGTGATCAAGCAGAATTGAAAAAATAAATAAATAAATAAATAAATAAAAAACGCACCCTGGAGAGTGAACAATTACTTTTGAAAACATGTTTAATGACTGAATTAATTAAAGTTGTCTTGATTAAATGACTTGTAAAATGGGCAGGTGTGTCGATGATTAAGCGATCCACAGGCTGCTTAGCCAGTTTGTTCCTTTGATTTAATTGGCTCATTGTTGTCTCAAAGTCAGTAACTTATTACCTTGACCTAAGACACATACTGCTGCTGTCATTCAGTGTTTAGATCCTGGCAGTTTCATTATGAACTGTCAACAGGAATACAGGATATCTAGTGTGGTAGCTTCTTTGTCCAGGCTGCTTCAGCTGTAACTGCTGCACTCTTTTATAATAGTGATGATTTAGAAGTTAAGGTCATATTATGCAATATGAGCCTTACTGCTAAATCATCTGGTAAAAGCCTGATTAAATGAATGTAAGAGTGTGAAGGAGTGAGGTGGGGTTATACTGGGTACTGCAGGTCTGTTCACCCTGAAAAGACATATTAAAAAACAGCACTAACTCCATCTCCTGTGGGGCCACGTGGTTTATGTACAGCAGGCATCATGATAAGATAATTCAACCAGACCACAAGACACTAACAAACTCGCACACCCATCGACAACAATAACAAACCAGCTTAATGCAGGAAGTGAGCTGATTAGACGGCTTGTGAATGTTTGCACAATGGGTGGACTGACTGTTAAACTTGGGTTATTTGTAGATTTGAAATGTATGTACAAATTGCTGTTAAGGAAAAGATCCAAGGTTTCTGAATCCTGAAGGAAATCCATTTCCTGACCTTTGAACCGAGCAGTAAACTAACCGTGGCCGGTGCAACCCAGTCAGACAGCAGGTGTATGGCGGTTAGCGGGCTTAGAGACCACACTAAGCCTATTCGGCCTCACAGACACAAAACAAGACTGCTAGACTTAAATTAACAACAGGAGCTGCACACTGTCTTCACATCAGACCAACACCTCTCTGATGAGCAATTATCACACTATGACTCATGTGCTATATATTCTAACAAGAACATGGTTCCCATCAGAGAACTTTGCACATCTAACAAAATGTAATATGTGTCGTGATACCATTTATAAGGAGGCTGAAGTAATAAAACCAATGTGTTCAGGGTATCATGGTGGTTTGGTGGTTAAACTGCAGTTTGATGTCAGTCTGGGACCTTTGTTTCATGTCACTCCTCCTTTCTCCTCATATTTATTGTCCACCTGTGAATTAAGGAAAAATGCCCCCAAAAATCAAAGTGCTATAACTTTACTCACTGCACAACAGAATTTCTTCAATTATTTAGGTATTAAGGAAGATATCTACAGAGCAGACAGTATGTAGTACTATGTTGCAGTATACTCTCTGTGACTTTATGTAACAATAATGTTGCAGATACGAGTATGTATCTGCAACATTATTATTTTCATGACTGATTAATCTCCCAGTTATTTTCTGGTTCAATCTATAAAATGTCAACTGAACTAAAAAATTCCCACCCCATATTCCACTGTGACACATTGAAATTGTGATACATTTTTTTTGTCAGACCAATGGTCCAAAGCCCAAACTATGCAGGACAAATGTAAAACAAGGAAGTGCAAAATCTTGAATTTAAGAAGTTTGATTTTGCTGAGAAAATTGATAGTAATGATTAATTTTGAAAAAAATAGTTGCTTCTTTATTTTCTGTTGATTGATTAATCATTTACCCTTCTTTGAAAAGCCAAAATCAGCCAGGTGTCCGGCTCTATCACTCATCCTGCATAGATTGTTTTTCTATGTGTGTGTGTGTGTGTGTGTGTGTGTGTGTGTGTGTGTGTGTGTGTGTGTGTTAAACTGAGGCAGTGACTGGGAGGAGGTGAACTATAGCAGATTGTGGCTAGTTACATCAACACACAGGATAATCTTGAACAAACAAAGGATGTGACCAAGACATAGTGTGGATTAAGACTCAGTCTAAAGAGATACACACCATAAACAAACACACTCAATGCTAAAAAAAGTCAGATTCAGAGGAAGATAAAAGATAAAAAAAAATAGCAAAATAACTCTGAAATTAAAACAAGTCCTAATTCTGCGTGTCAGCCATTAGTCTCTCTAAAGCCCTATATGGCACCAGATGGCCGCTATTGCCATGGCAACCCTACAATGCCTCGACACGACACGCCTGACAACACATCGATTTAACACCTCCCTAAATCCCGCCTACCACTGTGCCTCGGATTAACCAGTCACAACACAGATAAACCTCCCACTTGACTGGGATTAACCAATGAGGGCGATTCACCCATACACCAGGGATTATTAACTGAGAGAGGGTTCTAGTGTGTGTGTGTGTGTGTGTGTGTGTGTGTGTGTGTGTGTGTGTGTGTGTGTATGGTGAATAATCACAGCCAACCACCACGGTGAGCCTAAACCCACCTGAGCAGCCAGTGAGATTTTGTCCTGTTGAATGAGCTGAAAGTCAAATTCACAGGAATAAACCAGGCGGAGAGAATGAACACACCTGTAACGATGATGACACCAGATGGTCTGTGTCTTACACTGTGAGTGTGAGACTTAATATGACCTTCCACACCTGAGTCTTTCATCTATTTTTATCTTTTTTTTTACTCAATATCATCCACTGAAGGCTTTTCACTGAGCAATGAAGCTCTAGTTGTAGCTCGCCTGCTTCACGCTGCTCTGGCTGCCACAGCTGTTTCTCTTTAGTCCGAACTACAGTGGAGAAACTGACTCTAGGTCTGTATTTGTTCCATTTAGGTTCACACTGTCAAACACCATGCAAATCCTCAGACTACCAAGTATCAAATATCAAATCAAATCCTCTGCAAATTTCTTTTTAACTTTATACAGATATCAACATTGGCTGGAACTAACAATCAATTTCATAATCGATTAATCTCTAGTTTCCTAGAGCAGAAGCTGATATCACGAAATATCTTGTGTTATCCGACCAAAATTTAAGACTTTAAATTTACTATGATGTTAAAACAGCAAATAAGTCTATCTATTCGTCTCACAATTATTGTACAACAGTCCTGCTTATTGGTTTGTATACATGTATATTTTCCCTATTACATTTGCAATGAAGAACATTTTCATCTTTATTTGCTGCATCTGTGCTGTGCCAATAAATCTTTTTTTTCTGTCAATAGTTCACGCCTCA